TCCAATGACATGGATGTTAGATCTTCTGTTATGACCTCGCATTTCCTGAGGCTCTGGGGTTGTTGTTGTCGTTGTTTTCTGTCCACACTCTCTGTCTTGTTGCGATGTGATAACCCTATTGTTCTATCTTCAAATTTCCTGATTATTTCCTCTGCTCTCCCCCCATTTCAAGGTTGAGCAAAACTCTAAACTGCTGTTAGTCCCATCCACTTTGGCCAGAATCAGAAGCTTTCTTTGGCATGAGGAAAACTATAAGAAAATATAACCTAATTTGTATCTTCTGGATATAGGAGGACTTTTTTTTTCTTTTAATCATTGTTCAAATACAGTTTTCTCCTTTTTACTCCCAATCCAGTCCCCCCTCTCACCCTCCCCACTTCCCTCCCATTACCACCCTCCCTTTAGGTTATGACCATGTGTCCTTTAAGTTTGTTCCTGTGAACCCTTCCCACTGTCCCCTGAAATTCCCTCTACTCTCTTCTGTGGGCACTGTCACCCTGGCCTCTATTTCAGTGTCTTTGGTTATATTTTGCTTGTTTCTTTGTTTTGTTGTTTAGGTTCCTGTTAAAGGTGAGATCATATGGTATTTGTCTTTCACTGCCTGGCTTGTTTCGCTTAGCATAATGTTTTCCAGCTCCATCCACGCTGTCGCAAAGGGTAGGAGCTCCTTCTTTCTTTCTGCTGCATAGAATTCCATTGTGTAAATGTACCATAGTTTTTTGATCCATTCATTTACTGATGGGCATCTAGGTTGCTTCCAGCACCTAGCTATTGTAAATTGTGCTGCTATGAGCATCGGGGTGCAAAGGTTCTTTTGTATTGGTGTTTTAGTGTTCTTAGGATATAGTCCCAGCAGTGGAATTGCAGGGTCAAAAAGCAGGTCCATTTTTAGTTTTCTGAGGAAGTTCCATACTGCTTTCCATAGTGGTTGTGGGAGAACTTTTTGATAGATAAAAATAAAGATAGAAATCACACAGGGGAAGCCTCAACAGATTTAAATACTCAAAAATAGACATCTATAACATTCTGAAAAAAATCATTAATACTGTAGATTAGGTAGCAAATGGTAAAAGGATACACCATATATATGATAGCAAGTAATGTCCCTAACGTAAAAAGTGAGAAAAACATCAATGTTCTATGTGGGTACATAGACAGTTTATTAAAGAGGAAATTAAAATGAGTGATACAAATTGGAAAAGAACATTTAACACCTAAAACTAATATAAAAGAATACTGAATGTCAACTGTAAAATTTTTTCAAATTTAAACTCATTACTATCCAAATAAAGGCAAATTAAAGTTGACATTTTCTACCTATTCACTTAGTCAGCTTTTAAAACTGAACACCCATCACTGGTGACGAGAATAAACACACACACTCAGCTCAGGGGTCTAGTGACACAGCCTCCTGGATGTGAGCCAGACATTTTACTTCAAGGAACTTTTCCCGAGGAAATCATTCAAAATACCAAGGCTTATGAAAAATGATATTCATAGCAGCATTAGTTATAATAAAAATTGTCATTTATAAAACTGTCTTGAGGGAGGGTTGCATAACCAAAACAATCATCGTCAAGGTCAACCCAGAGACCTTGAGCCAAAAAGTACAGTTCACCAAGCCCCCAGACAATCCTTTTACGTCAAATCCATTATCACACCCATTTTACAGAACCTCAGGACAGACAGCCCTCACCACACCCCGCCCCGCCCCACCCCGGGAGTGGTGGAGACAGACATTTCCATCCTGGCTCCATCCAGCTCCCAAGGCCACCTTGTAGGCAGTTAAAAACAACAACAATCAAGAGGATGTATTTAACAAAGTAGGGACATGTTTACAATATGATGATAAATGAAAAAGGAGGACCCAGAAGCACTGTACGGTTTTAAGTGGAAAGAGTGCAAATTGTTGCAAAATGCAGAGAAGGAAGGACTCTGAGAAGGAAAAGGTTGAGAGAGAGAGGCCATGGCGGTAGTGCAGGCAAGGGTGCGGGGTGCGGGGTGAGGGCACCGCTGCTATTTCACAGAGCCTTGGCTGGCCTCTCCCAACCTTCTGCAGTGGGGGATGGACCACACAGAGACCACCATCTGGTGTAGTGGTGCAGGCACACGGGTGCCTGTCAACCAGAGCTCCCTGCCCCATGGGGGACGGTAAGGCCACAATGCCCTCCAATGCTGACAAAACAGCCAGTGGCACCAGCTTTCAGGGACAGAACTGAAATCAGATGAGTTCTGAAGGTCAAGGGAGCCAGGAAGGATGTCTCAGGAACCTGAAGGGCACTCAGGAATGGCAGCAGAGGACCCAGGATCAGCAGTGGCCTCTTCTCCAATCTCACAGCCTCCACCACAGAGGACTTCGTAACCAATGGTGAAACTAAGACAAGGAGAGGCTAACTCACTAGTCTGAATTGTGAATTCACAGGTTGTTTGTCAAAGGTGCTCTGCGCATGAGTGCAGGTGGCACCCCTCCCACGCAGAGTGCCTCAGGTTCCCAGAGCAGGGCAGGGTGACACCCGGAACCAGAGCTACCTGTTGCAGCACTGTCTTGTTCCAAGAAACATCTGCTGCATTGAAGGAAAACATCCTTAAGTGTGTCAAAGCCGAAAGATAGAAGGAAAGTTGTTTTTCCCTTCCCCTGTAATGAAATCCCTTAACTAGAAGCTTCCCAAACCCCAATCCCAAAGAATTGGACCCTAAATTTAGATTGTCCTTGGAAGGTCACCGGATAACCGCAGCTCAGGGTCAGCCAGCAGCTGTTCAAGATAACTTTGCTTTTCTGCTGACTCAGGCCTTTCCCTCACACAATTAATGAGATCCTGCTGCACTTCCCCTGGGGAAGAGAACAATGGCTGTAGATGAGCAGGTGGCCTTGGCTGGTCCGAGCCATTGCCACAGATCAGGGACTGACGTCCCTTACCCAGCCCCCAGGCCCCCGAGGAACTCAGTTTGCAGGTCCTGGTCCACTGTGCAGCCCCAGCCGAGCCCGCCTCATCTGTCCCATGGGGCTCCGCCCCTTCCTACCTCTGCGTCTTGGCTGAACTGTCAGCTCCTCAGAGAAGCCTTCACTCTACACCACACGGCTCTCTCTTTCCCAAGGCCACAGCACACCTGCAAGGGCCTTACCCAGTTACCGCTTGAGGGTGAAAGCTCCCTGGGTTGTGCTCCACTAGAGAATGTGCACGGTGCACAAATAAGTAGCCAGGAGATCCTCTTGAGTGGAAGGAAGGGTGGGCTGTCTTCATGCCTCCTCTCCCCACGCCCCCTTCCCCAACCCCACCCCCAGGTCTGGGATGGGCTAAGCCTCTCTGTGGAGGCTCTGGTTCCACGGTGGGCCAGAGCCACAACCAGTTCAGTGGTACTGAGGTAGAAATCAGATTGTGATAGGTGGAACCTGGCACCCCCAAGATACTGTGGCCCCCAAGATACTGTGAGGCTGTCCCCAAAGAGTTGTGGGATCACTGGGGGTACCATGGGATGCCAGGCAGGAGGTGGGCCCCACAATGGACCCCAAAGTGGTAGAGAGAGGAAGGAAGGTGGGCAGGCAAAGGGGGAGAGCCTCATGCATCTGTGGAGGGTCCTGTCTAGCAAGCTGGCTGGAGGGGCAGCAGGCAGCCCCCTACCAGGTATAGGTGCATGAATATGGCCACTGTGTTGAGATTCATTCCTGAATACTAGTGGGGAAAACCAATAAGCAGATGGACAGTTCCAGCTTGGGCCTCTGGAGCAAGGTTAGGAGATGGGGCAGAGAGGCCTCTAAGAGGAAGTGACCTCGGCAACAAAATGTAGACAGATGAGCAGGCCCCAAGCCAAGGGCAGAAGCTGCTGTGGGTGAGAGACAGACCAGCCTGGGGCCTCGAGGGAGGTGAGCCTGGGTAGAACAGGGAGTGTGTGCTGCTGGACTGATCAGGCCCAGCGTAGCCAGGCAGATGGCACCTTGGGCCACTCCCAAAAGTCAGCACTTTGTCCATGGGCAGTGAAAGCCATGGAGGGTTTGAGACAGAGTGTGAGTCAGGGGAGGAGCCCGCTGGGGTGGCCCAGCTGCCCTGAGGAGAACAGACCCAGAGGGCAAGGGTGGGGCCCAGACAGCCTCATCCTGGTTTTGGGGCAGGGCAGTTATCCTCGGAAGAAGGCAGTGTGGAGGGTGGTAGGGGCACCCTGGGCAAGGTCCCAAAATTTGGGCTGGTGGGGAGCAGGATTGAGAGGGTGGGGTAGGTGATACAGGTGCAATAGATGGGAGAGGAGATGTCCAGGAGGGTCTACAGGGTGAAGGGGGAGTGTCCGACGGTTTGTAGCAGGAGCATAGCAGCCAGTGAGTTGATAACTAGGAGGATGTAGTGGTTCTTGGTGCTGGGAGGTGAGGTGGGGATAAGGAAGGGGGTGAAACTTCCCCCACATCCGACTCCTGCCCACAGGGCCAGCAAACTTGTCTACCCTCCCCATGCTGGGGAACAGGATAGTGGCCTTATCTTAGAGCCACTTGAGGAAGGAGAAGGGACAGCTTTGTCAAAGCTCCCAGGCTGTGGCTGGCCTCAACACACTAGGTCTTCTCTGTGGAGGGGCACATTGGACCTTAGGAAAGCACAGGCCTACCAGGGGCCCCAGTCCAGGACCAAGTAGACTTTGCTAGAAACAAAGGGGCTGACAGAGAGTGGGAGGGGGCTGCCAGAATGGGGCTGTTGACCCCATGGGGTTGTGGGCTACAGGGCCTGGTGCCCCACCTGAGCCTAGGGGGGCCCCAGTATTCAGCCCATTGGGCCTTTCGAGAAACTGCTGGGCCATTGTGCAGAAGAATGCCCGGAAATCCCGCACCTCCCTCCTCCAGCGAGGATGGGGGCTCTTCCTCCTGGCCAGGAAACTCCAAATTGACTTCTGGAGGGCGGTCTGGGGGCTGGAGTGCCAGGGTTACCGCTGGTGGGAGGGCAGAGCACACACCCTCTGTCCCTTTGTGTCTCCCCTGTCTGAGGGCCAGAGTGGGCCACCAGCTGCTCCTGAGAGTACAGCCTGTGTACTGGGTCATTGGGGAACACTGGGGACTTTCTCAAGTGGTGTCGCCTGAGCTGGGCCTCCCAGGATGGGGGAATGGGAAGCATCTCAGGAAGAGGAGCGGTCAGAACGAAGGTTGGGAGGTCTGGAAAGTCTCTGCGGCAGGCGCAGAGTCGGGGTCTTCTGAGAGAGACCATGTCTGTGCCGCCTGCTCCGTGTTGGGGACTGTGAGCCAGTGGGCAGTGGTGCTGGGCAGGACCTTGCATGAGGCAGGAGACCAGCGTGACTTGCACAATCCTGCCTGGTCTTTCAGCCTGCGAGAGAGACAGCGCCAAGTCTTAGAGGGACGCGTAGCAGTTAGGATGAGGTTAAAGAGTCTGGGTCGGGCTTCGACTCTAGTGCGAGCTTCCTGAAGGAACGGGGCGAGCTGTGCTGGGCCGCGAGAGTCCCCCACGCAGGCCTCTGCATAGTGGTGATGTAGGGACTCCCGCAGAAGTTGGCCAAGGAAGAGTGGAGCAGGCCCAGGGGTAGAGGCCATCACGCTCGTTCGGGAAGCGGAGGGAAAATTGGGGATCATGTAGCTCCTGAAATGCGAGGCAGGGACGGGCATGGAGGTGGCCCGAGCAGCGCGAGTGGAGCCGCCCCTGGCCGACTCGGAACATGCTCGGCCTCAACTAGAAAATCGTAGACGAGGGATCGGTGGCCGCAGCCGCGCGGGGCGTGGTTCCGGCATCCTCCCCTATCCCCACGCGCAGTTATTTTCCTACCTGCCGGATGCTCTGGGGCGCCACGATTGGCTGCAGGCCGATGGCTCGTGCTCCGATTGGCTGCTTGGACTCGGCGGCCGAGCCGGAGTCCGCCCTCCGAACCTTCAAATAAGTACGACCGCGGCAGGTCCCGGCAGACGCGAAACTGTGCTGCCGGCGACTGGGGCGGTCTGGCGGAGCGCGGTGAGCGGGTCGCGCGGGCTCAAAGGTAGCAGGATCCACACGCGGCGCCCGCCTGCTCAGCGCAGCCACTGCCGAGCCCCCTGCGGAGGTTCCGGGGCCGTCGGGCGCGCGTCTCACCTCCAGACATGGGGTCAGTAGCGCTGGAGATCCTCGGCTTGGTGCTGTGCCTGGTAGGCTGGGTGGGCCTGATTCTGGCATGCGGGCTGCCAATGTGGCAGGTGACCGCTTTCCTGGAACACAACATCGTGACGGCGCAGACCACCTGGAAGGGGCTGTGGATGTCGTGCGTGGTGCAGAGCACCGGGCATATGCAATGCAAGGTCTACGACTCGGTGCTGGCACTGAGCGCCGAGGTGCAGGCGGCGCGGGCGCTCACGGTGAGCGCCGTACTGCTTGCGCTCGTAGCGCTCTTCCTGACCCTGGCGGGCGCTCAGTGCACCACCTGCGTGGCCCCGGGTCCCATCAAGGCGCGCGTGGCTCTCACGGGTGGCGCGCTGTATGCGCTCTGCGGGCTGCTGGCGCTCGTGCCGCTCTGCTGGTTTGCCAACATCGTGGTCCGCGAATTCTACGACCCAAACGTTCCAGTGTCGAACAAGTACGAACTGGGTGCCGCGCTGTACATCGGCTGGGCAGCCTCAGCGCTGCTCATGTGCGGCGGCGGCCTCGTGTGCTGTGGAGCCTGGGTCTGCACCGGTCGTCCCGACCTCAGCTTCCCTGTCAAGTACTCAGCGCCGCGGCGGCCCACGACTAGCGGCGACTACGACAAGAAAAACTATGTCTGAGGGCGCTGGGACGGAGGAGCCCCTCGTGCCAGCCGCGCCCACAGGCTGGAGGACTGGCCAGGGAGCCCTGCATGGATGGAGGCCTCCGTTGGGCCGGGCCGCGCCGCGTACTGGTTACACGGAACGCATCCCAACAACGGGACCCTGCTCGGGCCCGCAGCCCGTCGTCCGACCGTCACTTGCTGGGCACTAGGCGGTGCCCTGCCCTGAACAGGCAACGCGCACTTGGGAGGACTTGCTCAGTTTCTTTTCTGTGGGAAGTGCTGGCTCCGACGAGGTTAGGGTGCGGGTTCCTTGGCTGTGTGGGCACTGGACTAAAGATGCCACTTTTCTCCCTATTCCTCATGGTCTTGGACACCGCTGTACTTTCCAGCAGCTTCTGCTGATTCCAGAGGGACGGGGGTGCCTGAAGGTCGTTTACAGCTGGCCTTTACCCCATCAACAGGGCCTGAGCCCAGGGGTCCAAGAGATTTGGTTTGGGTCTGCCTCCCTCAACCCTGCAGCTCTCCAAGCGCACAAGATCTGAGCGTGGGGCTGGGGCACTGCTCTCCTTCACAGTTTGGGGGAGGGTGAGAATTTGTTTAGTAAATGGTTTGAATACTTTCCCACCGTGTTCTGTTGTCTGTCCATCCAGTCACCACCTGTGCCCAGCAGCTCCCATTCACCCACCCACCCACGGTCTCATCCCTCAAAGGCTCTTGTGAGGACCTCCCACTGCTGGCTCTGGAATCCATAAGACCCTCCTCCCTGCAGCCTTTTGTTGGGTCCTCCTTGCCACCTGATCATATTGGGTAGGAAACAGCTGTGGCTGTTTTCTACCCAGGAAGGTGCTGTAGCCAGATCCAGAGTCATGGGACCTGGGAGAGGATGGAGACCCCAGCAGAGGATGTGGGTTGGACCCCCTCCTCCCCAAGCCAGTGTGTGGTGGGCTTTGGGGTGTAGGAAGTGCTGAGGGTGAGTTGCTAGGCTGCTGGCCTTGCTTAGAAGAGGCTGGGCTCCACAGGGGTGGGGGGGTTCCACCTGCCCTCTCAGGGCTTGCCTAACTCTGGGTCACATCAAATGGCCACAGGCATCTGCACAATGCAAACGGAACCCTTTCTCCCCGTGTGCAATGACAACGGGCAAATCCAGGATGTGTGCTGGGCTCCAGCAGGGCTAGCTGCAGGTTGGCAAGCATGTTGCCATGGGGAGGAGGCCCCAGGGCCAATTGCCTGGAGAGTGCCCAGGCTCAGCTCCAGCCCCTCTGTCTGGACTCTTCTGCCAGTTTTCTGTGCAGCTGTGCCCAACCTGATGGCCATCCCAGACTCATGCCAGCCATCAGCATCTGCTAGGAGTACCGTGTGACCTTCCTCTGGTGGGTGGGACCCCTGGGAACCACCTGGCCCCAGTCAGGTACCTGGGGGTGGGGGTCCCAGGAGAGCAGAACCAGAGCTGTTAGCACCTGAGCTCACAGCTTCCAGCCCTGTTCTAGGCATTTGAAATCAATGTATTTTTACCTTCTGTCAAAGGCTAAGGCAGAAAAGAGCAGTGGATGGGAGCAAGGGAGGCATTCTAAGCCTGGCCAGCAGGGAGGCTTGGCATCTGTCCCCAACACCGGCCTCAGGGACTCTATCCAGAAGTGTCTGGGCCATGTCCATCCAGCGGCAAGGAGTCTCCCCAGGCTTGGTTAGGCTTCTTGGGGGGGGGGGGCAGGGAGAACTCGAGGACATGGAGTCAGAGAGGCCACAGCAGAGCCAGTGAGTGGGACTTCCAGGGAGACTGAAACACCTGGTGGCCTGAGCTCCCCCAGCAGAGGACCTCAGCAGCACCCCAGGGCAGTCCCACCTGGCCTGTGCAGTGGGGATCAAGGATAGCTCCCAAGTACAGGAGTCTGTCATCCTGGTCCTTGCAAGGCCTCTCCTGCCTGCTGGGACCAGCTAATACCAGCTACAGGGTATTTGGCCAGGAGCGGTCTGTATCCCATACAAGCCCATAGCTCTCCGACTTTTTCAGGCGCCAGGCACCAGCTGGCAATCTGAAGGGCAGCTGCACAGCCTCAGATTTTGCACACAGGCAAGGTGGGGCACACACAGCTTGAGGGCAGCCTGGAGAGCCCATGCCAGGAAGAACAGGGGCAAACTCCACTGCCAAGGGTCAGGAGAAGGTGGCCATCACTGCCGCCAACCTCACTGCCAACTCCCCCTCCCCAAGGGCTGCCTTGAGACCTGGGCACATCTACCCACACCCTCAATTCCAGGCCACTGTTTCCAGGCTCCCCACCAACCCCTCCCCACAACTTAGAGCCCCCCGGCCAAACCACTCTGCCTCCACCAGCCCTCAATCCCAGGAACTGCACCCAGGTGGCCATGTCCTTCCAGCCTGTTGTCAGTGACTTGTATGAACAGCTCTCTCCTCCCCTGAAACAGGTGAGATACCAGACAAGACCTCCCAAAGGGCAGGAATGGATGGGAGCAGGGAGCATCCTCGCCTCCAGAGACATCTGGGATAGTGAGACCAGCTGACCCCATGGCTCCCTTGAGAATTATTCCTGTTCTGAAAACTTAGGAGGTTGCCGTGCTCCTGTCCAGCCTGGACATTCTGTGACCAAGACACAAGCTGAAGCTGACCTTGGGGTCACCGTGTCTCCATCAGGGCAGGGGGCACTCAGCCAGCCCCACCCTTCCTGGCTTGGGGCCTCACTGTATGCCTGTGGGGCCAGTGGTGTATGGACAGGTAGGTGCTGGGGGGTAAGATGACAGTCCTGGGAGTGGTTCATGATCAAGAAGTTGAACTTGAGATGCTGCCAAGGCTAGGAGGACAGGAGGAAGTGGCGAGAGGGTGGACAGAGCCAGGTTCTGGTTGACACCGCTGGGAAGTAGTCAGCGCAGGTGCTGGGTAGACATCCATGTGCTCAGGGGCCTGGCCTCTGCCCACGGCTATCCTGAGAACCCCCACCCATGCTGATTTCCTGCAGGGCCTGAGGGCGTTCAGGGCACAAGAACAAGGCTCCTATGAACCCACAGAAGGCTCAGGGCACAAATAAGTGCTGGCCCTGTGACCGGAGCGAAGGATGGGGCACTGAAACTAAAATAAGCATTTTATTCCATTTAAAACCACTGTTCCTATGTTTAAAACTATGTCCATAACTTACAATCTAAATAAAAGCCTATTAATATAAATAAGGAGAAGGAGATCATTTCTGAAGAAATCCAACCCTAGAAAAGAAAAAAAGAAAGACATTTCAGACAATTCTGATGTCTCCCCAAAGTGAACACATTGCCCCAACCTGCCCTCTGCTGCATGCCAGGCTGCTGCTTCTGAGCAGCCTCCGCCACCCACCGGCGAGGGCCATCCCAGAACTACCAAGGCGCCTGACCCTGCCGTCCTCACTGCACCCTCCTGGCCAGGTCTAGGCTGTCATTTGCTTGACAACCCCTGAAGACCTGGACTCCCAGTACCTTCTTTCCTTGCAGAGCCTTCCTGTGGTGTGTCCAGCTTCATCCCCACGGTGACCCTCCCCTTGCTGGGAGCATTTCCCTGCCACCCCCCAGCACACTGCTCCTCACCCTTCCTGGGTGGCCCACCCTGCACCGTGTCTTGGTGGCAGGACACACAGCAGCGCTGGCATCATCACTGAGTAGACTGCAGGGGAAGGGCCGCCTCGAACACCAGCCTCACTGCCTGAGAGCCCCACTTGTAACCTTTGATTAGGTCATAAACTTATACCTCTGCCCCACCCTAAGGCCCTGTGCTGAGGCTCAGCACTTGTCCAAGGGGTATCAGCCCCATTTTGGATGAAGAAACAGGTAAAGTACCCAATGGATCTTAATAAACACCCTAAGGGTCTGACCCCAGGGCTCCTCCCCAACACAAAACATGTGTACCCCAGCCCAACCTGACAGAGGGACTGTGGGGTCCCTCAGGCCCCCTATGCCATTCTCAGTAGTGCCCACTGGGCCCCAACAGGGGAAGGGCACCCACTCTCACAGCTTCCAGCTCACCATGGACAGGGAAGCAGGAGAAGCCTGGGCTGGCACGAGGGGAGCCCGGACATCAGAGCCTTGACGGGCCAGACAGCCACAGCAGTGGCCCCAGTGCAGGTTCAGGAAAAGGCAGGGCTGGGTGTGGGCATGCACTGTGTAGGGGGTGCCGGCATTCTGTGCTGAGAAGTGGTCACTGGACACAGAACAGCCCCCGTGGCCTGCTCAACTGTGGCCCATTTCCTCAGGAGCCCCTCAAGAAGGAGGCCTGTCCGTTACAGCCACATGCCGGCGCAGGCCTGCGGAGAGCCGACATTTTCTGATTCTCAGCTGAATGGCTGACAACAATGTGGCTTTCCCAAAAGTCAAGCACATGAGGGCCTAGATAGAGGCCCTTGTGGGCTCCAGCCCAGGGCCTGAAGCCAGGCTGGAGGGGCAAAAAGGCTCCAGGTGGCCCCCTAGGGGCGCCCTCGTTGCCAGCAGTGCCAAAGGGCCTGCGTGTCCCTGGCTGCTGTTCAGCCCACAGTGAGTGTGTTTGGGAAGAGAGCAAATGCCAACTGTTTCTGAAGAGGCCCCAGGAACTTAAAGCAATTAGTTCCCCAAAACGCCCCATTGTGGCACTGCCACCAGTACATTCTGGGGAAAAATGTGCTGCCCCCAAATCTCAGGAGCCCCACTCTGGTTTGAAACCCAAGTAGAAGCCTGGCTTGCGGAGGAAGAGAGTGGGGAAACCACAGCAGGAATCAGGAGGGGCCATTAGCAGCACTGGCTTTGTGGTGGCCCCACCCCCACCCCCACACTCACCCTCAGGACAGAAGGGAAACAAGCGCATCTAAAAACTTGCTCCGATCCTCCGCTTTCAGTTCAATTACTGCAGTAATGAAAGAAAAACATCTAGTGAGACGGGAGGAGTTGGGACGGGAGTGAGGGAGAAGTGAGAAAAACAAGTCAGAGCACATTAACTTCCTCTTCCCACCCAGCCAGGACTGGAGTCCTCCAGCACATTCCAAAATGGACTTGGCTCCTTGGTGGCCTGGAATATTCTGGACTAAGAAGTTATACTTTTCCATCCCTCTGTATTTCATCTTCAGAAACTTCCGGCTGTCCTGTTGGTAGGCTGGGGTTGTGGTCTGCAGGGAGGACCCCCCAGGCAGCCGGGGGAAGAGCACTGACAGGCAAAGGAGGGAACACGGGGGACGTTGATGGCTTAGAGCACCACAGCCCTGGGCTGAGAGGGGCCGCCCCACCCTGCTGGACAGAGTGCCGCCCGCCCCACAGTGGGCTGCAGGAGGCCCTAGGTCTGTCAGGCAGGAGGCCAACCTTCCACCTTGCTCTGGCAACCTTCAGCTCCCTCAGCTTCAGTGTCCTCTTCCGCGGAAGGGGTACACGATGCAAATTGCCTCCATCTCTGGGGGGGCCATCAGGCTCAGACAAACACATGGGCCCCCTTCATATGGCTAACTGAGCTGGCCTAGCCCTGAAAGCTGTCTGTGCCGTGGGTCACAGCTCTAGGAGCCCAGGCTCCGCTTGCCCAGGTAGTAAAGGCCATGGCTCCCTTAGCCTCTCACCCACGATCTCCACCCACAGGGGAAGCCAAGCAGCTCCTGCCCACAAACCCTCCCCAAGTGGGCCCAGGACATCCTGCAGGCCAGCTAGCACCAACCTCTCCCACCTCTTGGACATAAAAGTGAAACTACCCAACACAGTCACAGCCTGAGCGGGCTCAAGGTGAAGAAGTCGGCTCTCGACACTGAGGCGGCTGGGACGAAGACTGGGTCCCGATTGCAGTGATCGTCAGGTGAAGTCTTCTGTCCTTGTTTCTTCAGAGGCTTTCAATTTCTCATTCTCTTCTTCTGGCACCCCCGTGATGTGCATGTTGGTACGCTTGATACTGTCCCAGAGGCCCCTTAAAGTATCATTTTTTGGATTTTCTTCTTTTTGCTGTTCTGATTGGGTGTTTTCTGCTACCTCATCTGCCAAACCACTGATTAAATCCTGTTTCATTTATTTACTCTAAAGTTAACCACTTCTAGTGTATTCTTTTCTGACTGGTCCTTTTTGATGTGTTCTGTCTCCATTTTTGTTTCCTTTTTGCTGACATTCTAAGTTGTCTATTCTTCCCCTAAGTCCACTATGCATCCTTATTTATAACCAGCATTTTGAACTCTGCATCGGGAGTATGCTTGTCTTCATTTTTAGTTCTTTTTTTCTGGAGTTTTGTCCTGTTCCTTCATTTGGAACATGTTTCTTTGTCTCCTCATTTTGGCTTCTTCCCCATTTGTTGCTGTGACCACAGTAGGCCGACCCCATGGAGCAGGACTCATTTTGGCAGGGCTCGGGTGCCTGCCGAATGTGCCCCTTCAGTGTCACTCATGGAGGTGGTGGGGTGGTATGCTGGTGTAGTGTAAATCTGCCTACTGGGTACACTGGCTCTGGGGCCTCCTGGGAGATGCAGGCCAAGGTCAGTTGCTGTCTGTATCCTGCCTGAGGCCACCTGGCATGAGCTACAAAGTGATCTGCAGATGGTTGCTACGTTTGCTGGGCTTAGAGGTGCCCAGGAAAAGCGAAGCCACAAACCAAGGCTGGATGCCACTAGTGACGATGTTTGGGCTAGAGGTAGCCCAAGGCACAGGGCATGCCAAGGCCAGATGCTACTTGTTTGGGACTTGACCTTTTGAGATTTTTAGGCAAGTCTGTAGCATGAGCCAAGCCAGGCTAAGTCCTGACTGATGCAGCTCAGTTGGTTGGGCACCATCTGGCAGAGTGAAAGGTGGCTGGTTCAAATCCCAGTTAGGGCACATGCCTGGATTGCGGATTCAGTCTCCAGAGAGAGCATGTACAAGAGGCAACTAATTGGTGTTTCTCTCTCAAAATCAATGTTCCTCTTTTCTCTCTGCCTTCCCCTCTCTTCCTAAAAATAATATAAATAAAATCTTAAAAAATAAACCCCAGAAAAACTGCACTGGAAGTGGCTCGGGTGGGCCTGCAAGTTGGGTGGGGCAGGGTCTCAGGGAGTCAGCAGGGCGAACTGCTGGTATCAGCCAGGTTGATGCAGATTTGGATACAGTATCTGCCTGAGCCTACCTGCCCAGAGAGGGGCACAGCAAAGGAACAGTCGCTATGACAGCACTTCTGTCTGAGACAAGGCGGCCCACCAGCCCCTGTCCCAAAGCCAGACAATTTAGTTCCTCCCCTTATGTCTCTGGTGCCTTTTGAGCTGCCACCCCAGCGCTGGAGCATAGAGCGGCTGAGTCCCAGGAAGCCCATACTCGGCCCTCCCCTTCAGGAAGAACACCAGGGACTCCGGAAGCCCTCCGTCTCACTCAGCCACAACCTGCTGGTGTTCACATCCAGAAGTTATGGGGACTTCTCTCTCCGGCACTGGAACCCTGGGCCGGGAAGTCTGGTGTGGAGCTAGGACTCCTCATTCCTCAGGGAACCTTCACAGCTAAGATATTTCTCCTGAATGGTAACCACCACGGGTGGGTATGGGACCAACCCATTCCACGTCTCCACTCCTACCAGTCTCCCCACGGCTTCTCCTTTATATCCTTAGTTGTACTACATCTGTTCAGCTAGACTTCGGATGGTTCTCAGTAATGACTGGTCTGGAGTTTAGTTGTAATTCTGATGTGATCATAGGAGGATGTGAATAATACGTTTACCTCTGTTGCCATCTTGATCGATAGCCCCGAGAGCTCAGGCCCTGCTGTTCCTATGACACATAGACGGGGCAGGTGACCCTGATAAGTTAGGTCGGGTCCTGGAGGCTCTGGTGGCTAGTCTTCCAGGCTTGTTGGTGAGCAGGTCTCAAGGGCCTAGGCAACACCTAGGTAGCATCTCCTGTGAGCCTGTCAGGCCCACAGGAGGTGCAAGGCCCGAGGCATGCCAGAGCTCCCGAAGCTGCCTACAGAAGCCAGCACAGGGCTAGTTCCAATGGGCCGAGAGGGCCGCTGGCAGGGTACCTCTGGTGATGCCAGCTCCCCTGGGCCAAGGCCAGCCCTGACCTTCAGTGAGGGGCCCCCATCCATCAGATTCTTACCTGACAGGTCAAAGTAGTTGTGCAGTGTCCGGGAGTTAGTACCCTCTGCTGCTTTCTCGAATGCCCGCCCAAAAAAGCTGCAGACATGTAAGAGGCACATGAAGGGTCTGGCCATTGTGACAGACCCTTCCCACACCCCTGGAACACGCTGGCGTCGGCCCAGACCCCTCCCCTCCCCCGGCTGCTGGTTCTGCCCATCAGCACTCACGCCCCTTCCTGGGCCACTGCCCTCTGAGTTCTCACCACCACTCACAGGACTGTCACTGCCTCTCACTGCTGCTTCCCATCTATACCCAGCTGAGACCTTAGCCCTCAAGGAGCAAACGTCAGGACTTCACGCCCAGGGTTCTAGCTGCAGCCTGCCTCAGATGTGGCACTGTGCTGGCAGCTGGGGCAGGTGAGAGGCAGATGCTCAGTGGAAGCTGTGCTGGGATGGGGGGTCTGAGATGAGACCAGGTCTCACACAGTAGACTAGGACTAGGAGGAGGCTACAGGGCTGGGCTGTGGCAAGCAACTGGGACTTGGCCCAGCAAGGGAAGGGGGCAGGAGTACCCTGAGCTGCTGAGAGCACAGGGCAGCAGGGAGACAGCCTAGAGCACGGACCCACCCCCTGGGCAGAAAATGGCTGACAGCAGGAGTGAGTTGTGGGTAAGAGGCTCTTGGACCCACCACAGAGACAGGCAAGAGGGGCATGCACTTCGGGCTTCCATGGCAACTCTCACAGGGACTGTGCACATCAGTCAGAGCTAACACTAAGCATGGTTACATATATGACATACAATGACAAAGTGACAGCTAGAGGAAGGATGCAGGTGGCTGTGATGACCCACAGGTGAAGTGCTTGCTGGTCACCTTGGGAATGCAGGCCAGGAGCACCTGGACAGCTACGAGCTGTGTGATCATGAACTGGAGACCCGTGAAGTGACTTTGAAGAGCAGCCTAGACACAGAGAAGCACTTACCTTTAAAAAGTCCAGCATCTCTCCCAATTTCCTACTAAATGGTCTTTGCAGACACAGGTCAAAGCTCACAACAGTGGGGACAGGACTAATCTGGATCAACGACCAGTGTCCTCCATGGTAGAGGCCCCAAAAGGCTAGCTGGTAAAAATGAGGGACACAGGACACTCATCGATCCTCAGTGCCCCAAATTGTCCTACCAGGAAGCTGTGTGGCATCTTCCTGCTACCTGCTGTCACTAGGCATCTATCCAGAGTGGCCTTATGGGACTTGCTAGGGAGCACTAGACCCTGGGCACTGACTGCACCTGGGAGGCAAAGACACCTAAGGATGGTGACAGGCAGCCCCTGGGATTAGCCACCAGGTTCTCCAGTTTGCAGAGCACGGAGGAACAGCAGGGAGTGCCAGAAAGACCCTTGGCCCTGCCTGCTGGTCAGCACCTGGTCTGGAAGGACTGGGCAGGAGGAAACCCAAACCTAATGCAAGAGGAGGACAAGAACTCGGTGCTGAAGATGCAGGGAAGGGCCAGAAAGATAACTAGAAGTTGTGGGAAAGGCTTCTCAGAAGTGCAAGAAGATGAGCCTGTATATTCATACACCCACTGGTCAGTCACTAACAACAAAGAGGTGGAAACAGCATGAATGTCCAACAGGAGGGGTAACCTGCTGCCCACGGACCAAAGCCTCACAGGCCTGCCACATGGAGGAAAGGGTCTCCTCTGGTGTGGCACTGAGGGGAAACTTCCCCCAACTCCAAAGGACCCACGAGCCAGTGATGCCCCCGAGCCCCCGCTAAGCTCCCCAGACATGTGGAACAAGGCTCACTTCTTTCTGTCTGAGCTGTCGGTCTCCGGAGGGATGCCCACCACCGTCACTGTGCCCTGCTCCGCATTCAGTGGGGCAGCCATCACCAAGGGCAGCAGCTTGCAGCGCCGGTTCTTCGTCTGTGGAGGCAAAATACACCCTCACCCGTGGCCCCACAGGGTGAGTGCAGCACTCAGCGCCCAAGACCTTGATGGAGCCAACTGCTCACTCCCCAAAAGCCTCCAGGGGCCTCATATGACCAGAAGAGAGGCTCAAGCATGGGCTGCTCCATCTTTCTTTTGTGCTACCGGTTCTTTCCCTTACTTCCTTCGGGTCCTGACACAGTTATCACCTCCTCCAGGAAGTCCTCCCTAACCAAGCCCTTCTCCCTCATCCTGCCCTGTAGAGAAAAAGGTTCCCCACGCGTGTGCCACCACCCGACACTGCACACACTCAGTCCTCGTCTGTCCCTTCACTGGCATGTGTACTTCCTCAGCAAGGAGACTCGTGTTTCCTTCACTGCTATGTCCACGATACCCACACTCCAAAACAAAGGTGACCAACTGTCCTGATCTGTCTGGGCCTGAGGGGTGTTCTGGGACGTTAACCTATATGGTTGGCTGGTCACCCTACGATGTCGGAGTCCAGCAGGTAGTGGATGTTTAATAAATGTCTGACACACAAACGGATCTGTGCAGTGGGTATTCACTCACCCATTCTACAGATAGGGAAACAGAGGTTCAGGTCAAATAACAGACCTCACGTCACACAATTGGTAAATGAAGAGGCTGAGATTCAAACAGCCTAGAGGACTTCAGAACTCATGATTGGTCCCTAGTAGACTTTTGTCATGACTTGACTGTATTCAAGTACTTTTATTGGTCAGTTCGGTGGCGTGAGATAATCTCAACCTTCTATCCAACATCTGTGTAAAGTAGCCCCCAGAGTAAGCCCTCATCCTGGAAGCAGACTGACAGCTGAAACGCGCAGGACCATCTTTTCCTTGACCACACCTGGGAAGGAGATCATGTTATTGGGGTAGGGTCCCTGCCCAACTGACAGCTCAGTGGGGGGGTGTCCCAGACCAAGGCAAAGAAGGGTGTTAGGCCATAGGGAAGACAGAACCACACACAGAAAAGGGAAAGTCAGCCCAGAAAACAGACTCTTGCAGGGAAGCAAGTCTGCTCCAACCAACCTCATCTTCCCTTGATGTGCAACAGTGGGACACACACCCTGCTCCCACTCACTCTCTGAGGCCCCTCCCCACACAGCAGAGACCAGGATGGCCAGTGACAAAGTCAGAGCTTGTAAGGACCAGGAGGCTCCTAGGGGTCAGCTGAGGAAAACACGGCTCAGAAAAACAGAGGGGTCTACCCCGACCCTGCAGCGGGTGGACAGCCACTGGCACCCAAGGCCGGCTTTGCCGGCTCCTCTGAGCACCGCTAGAGTGGCCTGCCTTCCAGCATCCTCCCGCCCAGCTGCTCACCGAATACACAAAGGACTTGAGCAGGTGTCTGCTGAGCAGACTCAGGGACGCTGGCTTGGAGAACAGTGCAACGTCTGGAGTGCCCTGTGGGGAGAAGACAGACGGTCAGGGGGGCCAGCAGCAGATGTGGCCCTGTGTCCACCCGTAGTCCTAGGAAGCCTGACCTCCATGAGGGAGCAGTAGAGGAAAGGGCCCTGGGAGATGACGAGGTTGGTGCAGAGGCAGCTGGCGATGGTCTGCTGTGTAGCTAGCAGCTGCTTCTTGGCAAGCTCCAAGCCATGGTACAGCTTGTCCAGGTTACCCCTGTAACACAGCAGACACACGACTTCGGCACAGAGTCAAACAGAACGCTCGGTTCCTGGGTCAGGAAGGGATGTGGGGATGACGGTTGATTTCTCACCCTCCTGAGTTCCCCTTCGCGTGTAAGGAAGGAATAAACAATGTGTAAACCCATAGTGATGGACATGAGAGGTGGGAAGGGGTGTTGGCATCAGAAGACTGGAGACTAAAATCCAAAAGCCGGGGAGAAGATCCTGCCCAGCAGGCCCTGGAAGGTGCCTGGAGGGTTCCTACAGGAACAGCATGGGCAAGGGTTAGGGGAAGGACCAAGGGACCCCAGCAACTGACAAATGGGTTTTTACACTTCCCCGCAACAAGGAGGGTTCCCCTCCAAGTGCATTAAAATGAGCCCTCATGGAGAAGTGAGGTCTGCAAGCAAAGCCCCCTGCCCTCGGGAGTTAAGTTTCCCCAAGTGTCACACTGACTCCCACCCATCAAGACGAAGTGGTGCCTTCTGGCTGGCAGGCTGTGCCCAGAGACCCAGGGCGGCACACCCCAACTTGACTGAGAAAACCACCAGGCATTTGAGAAACTCCTGGGGCCTGAAAAAACAACCCTAGAGGACATCGAAGTAATGTGAAGGACAAAAGAAAACGGAAAGTGAACTCTAGTATCTTCAGAGAGACTTGAGCAGCTAATCTGTTCATAAATCAAGAACTGGATGCTATGAAAAAGGAACCATCTGAAACTAGAAATTGTCTGTGGAAAGTAAAATCATTGCAAAAGATAAAGAATTCTCTTTCGAAGGCAAGAGGACAGAGTCAAGAAAAGCTTCCTTAACATCAATAACAAGACAAAACCATGAGGATATAAGGCAAAAATAAGAAACAGAACTGTTCTAGGAAGTGTGGAAAGAAACTAAAAATCACTGGTATGTATAAGTATGTCTATTGGGGGAGTAGTAAAGAAATAACGCCAAACATACCATGAAATTCTAGAACACTGAGAATAGAAGAAAAGATCCTGTAAGCGTCTTCACAAAGGATGGGGACAAATTTATAAAAAGAAATGGAGCCAAAATAGCTCAGACTTCTCATTAGCACCACTGGCTGCTGAAGACAGGGGAGCAGTGGAATCCATAATCAACAACAAATTACCTTCCACCTCGAATTCTGTATGAGCTAAATCAGCAATCAGATGAGGGTAGAACAAGTATTGTCAGACCTGTGCAAGAATTCAGAATGTTTATACTTCACACACACTCTTTAAAAGTTACACTAGAATTGTGCTCTAGCAAAAAGAGGGAGTTAAAAAAAAAAAGAGAGAGACAAAACATGAGGATCCCAAAAAATGCTGGCCCCAAACCAGGGGCGCAGTCAAAGGGCCATCCATGACGGCAGCAGCAGCAGGCACAGGGGCTGCAGGTCCAGCCTAAAGTCAAAAGCCAGAATCCAAGGCCCTCACAGACAAAGGGGCTTAGGGAATACCTGCTGAACGGAGAGCTGAGAAAAAAATGGATACAATAAAAGGTGATGAAGAGGTCCAGGAAAAACAAAGAGCTATACCAGAAAATACGGTAATCACTGGTCATTATTGACTCTGAAATTTTTTAAAAATAAATTTTACTCTTTAAAAATTTTTTATTTTAGAAGGAAAGGGAGAAAGAAGGAAAGGGAAAGAAAAGTCAATGTGAGAGAGAAACATCCATCAGCTGCCTTCTGTACGTGTCCTGACTGGGAATTGAACCAGCAACCATTAACTTTGCAGAACGAAGCTTAACCAACTGAGCCACACTGGCCAGGACAACTTTGAAATATTTTAATAGCACAATGAAGTAACACTATTTACTGTTTTCATCTTTTCAAATCAACCTTAGCCAAAAATGAGATGACTCACATTCTATTCTCTAACTCAAGATTAAGGGTTCTCAATCTTTAAAATGCAAAAAGCATAGATTTCAGGAACTGAGAGGTATGCAGAAGGATAAAAGTAGGGATGCTGACACCCATTTTTTTTTTTAACAGAAAACAGAGACAAGAGACCCTAGTGACAGAATAACACGTATGCTGAAGTTACAAAGTAGCTAAAAATAGTGGCAGACTATAACAACAGGAGGGAAGGAGCACAAAAATAGGAAAATGCTCTTTTGTCATAGCAGGACATTAGCAGACAATGTCTGAAACTGACATCAATCCTGGGATGAGGGTAGCAGTTGATAGTAGTAGTTTTTGGATATTCCCATATTTCCAAATAAAAATAGAGCAATTCAAAACCAGACCCACATCTACAGTACAAACCCCTGAACATAAGCCAGTAGAACAGACCACCACCTGGCCACGAGATTCGTATATTGCCAGTGTCAATGTGGGAGGTCGCAGAGAGGCACAAGACTTAAGAATGTGAAAACTACAGGCAGCTGGGGAACACTAAGAGGGCTTTTGCACTATCCAGGCAGGAGAGTGGGAAGAGACTTGTTAAAGTACAAGGGGCATGGTAAAGACTAGGGGGCCGGAGCAGTCTAACCCTGGGAGTCCCACCTGACAGGCAAGAGATCCCTTCCACACTGGGCCCCTCACTAAGGAGAAACTACTGAGAACAGAATCAAAATTGAGCAAGATAGTGACAATACAAAAAAGGAAAGAGAAGGTACAGATAAAAACACGTGGGGATTTAATGAAGGCGCTAGCCAGCACAATCAGGCAGTAAAATGAAATAAAAAGCAGATTGGAAGGGAAGCAGCAAAACTATCTGTTTGCAATGACATGGTCTTGCACACAGAAAACCCTAAGGAATCATGGAATTCTATGCAGCAGAAAGAAAGGAGCTCCTACCCTTTGCAACAGCTTGGATGGAGCTGGGAAGCATTATGCTAAGCGAAACAAGCCAGGCAGTGAAAGACAAATACCATATGATCTCACCTTTAACAGGAACCTAAACAACAAAACAAAGAAACAAGCAAAATATAACCAAAGACACTGAAATAGAGGACAGGCTGACAGTGACCACAGAGGAGAGAAGAGGGAATTTCAGGGGACAATGGGAAGAAGGGTTTACAGGAACAAATTTAAAGGACACATGGACAAAAACTAGGGGGAGGGTGGTAATGGGAGGGAAGTGGGGAGGGTTGGGTGGGTGGGCTGGATTGGAAGTAAAAGGGAGAAAACTGTACTTGAACAATGATTAAAAAAAAAAAAAGAAAACCCTAAGGAATCCATGGAAAAACTGATGGAACTAATAAACGAATTAAGCAACACTGCAGGATTCAAGATCAATTTGCAAAAATCAACTATTTCTACACAAGCAGCAATGAGAACATGGAAGAAAGAAAACAAGTCCATTTACAATGGCATCAAAAAGAATAAACTATTTAGGAATAAATTTAACAAGAGTAAAATTTATTCTCTAAAAAGTATAAAACATTGTTGAAAAAAACTAAAGAGGATCTAAGTAACTGAAAAACCATCCCATGTTCATCAGTTAGAAGACTTAATATTGGTAAGATAGCAGTACTCTTCAAATTGATCTATAGGTTCAGTGCAATCTGACGTCTTTGCAGAAATGACAAACTGATCCTAAGATTCATGGAAATCCAAGGAACACAAAAGAGCCAAAATTTACTGCAAAGCTACAGTAATCAAAACAGTGTGGTACTGTGATAAGTATGGACATATTGATGGACTAGAATTGAGAATCTAGAAATAAATCTCCCCATTTACAGTCAACTGATTTGTAACATCAGTTGCCAAAATAATTCAATTTCTCTTACAGAAAACAAGTGTAAATCTTCATGACTTTGAAGTGGGCAATGCTTTCTTAGATATGACACCAAAAACACAAGAAACAAAAAGAAAAAACAGATAACTTAACCATCAAAATTAAAAATTCTGTGCTTCAAAGAATATCAAGAGAATAAAAAGACAACCCATAGGATGAAAAAAAAAGGTTGCAAATTGTGTATCTGATAATGGATGTATATTTAGAATATATAAAACAATCCTTACAACTCAATAACAAATAGAACCCAACTGAAAAATGGACAAAGGACTTGAATAAACAATTCTCCAAACAAGACATACAAATGGCCCATAAACACGTGAAAAGCTGTTTGACATCCTTAGGAACAGGAAATGCAGGCCCAAACCACAATGAGATGCCACTTCACACCCACTAGCACGGTTTGCTCAGAAAAGACAGACAGAAACAAATGTTGGCAAGGATGTGGAAAATTCAAATACTCATTCCCGGACAATGAGAAGATAAAATGGTGCAGTTGTTTTGGGAAAGTCTGGCGATTAGTTCCTTAAAAGGTTAGACGCAGGGTTAGCATATAACGCAGAAAGCCCATTGCTAGGCATATACCCAAGAGAAATGAAAAGAGATTTCCACACGATGTACACGTGTATGTTTATGGCAGTATTATTCATAACAGTCAAAAGGTGGAAATTACCCAAATGTCTAACTGATGAATGGATTAATAAAATGTGGTATATCCCTATAATAGAAAATTATTTGCAATAAAAAGGAAGAAAATCCCTATTGCTGCTACAAAAGGGATGAACCTTGAAAACACTCTAAGTGAAAGCCACTCCGTAAAGGACCACACAGTGTCTGATCAAATGACATGAAGCATCCAGAATAGCAAGTCCACAGAGACAGAAAGTAGATCAGTGGTTGCCTAGAGCTGAGAGAGATGGGGGATTTGGAAAGTGATGGCTAAGGGAAGCAGGGTTTTTGGGGGGGAGGTAAAAAAAAAAGGCTCTCAAATTAGAGAGTGATAATTGCACAACCTTATGACGAGATTAAAAGGCATTAAACTGTATACTTTAAATGGATGAAGTATATGATGTGTGAATTATAGCTTGGTGAAGCTATTTTTAAAAAGTCTGCTGGGAGCAGGACCCTGTTTTTAAACACTGCACAAAAGCGACAGCTATCTGAAGTTAGAAAGTTCTGAATCGTGCCTCCTCCTTAAAAGCCAGAGCAACTAAATTCATAAAGAAAACAAGCAGCAGATGAGCATCAAGCCCAAATCCTCTAAGTAGCTATTAGAAAAAAGAGGCTAAGGAGAATAGCATCCCTGTCGGCAGTGAGTGCATTAGAGACATGCCTTCCAATGACCTAAACTGTAATGTTACACCCTATTTCAACCCAAGCTAAAGGTATGAAAAATACTGTAAGACATCTCAGGAAGTAAGGTAAGAAAAAAAAACTAGAAATGAGCCCTGGCTGGCATAGCTCAGTGGATTGAGCGCGGGCTGGGAACCAAAGTGTCCCAGGTTCGATCCCCAGTCAGGGCACATGCCTGGGTTGCAGGCCATGACCCCCAGCAACCGCACATTGATGTTTCTCTCTCTCTCTCTATCTCCCTCCCTTCCCTCTCTAAAAACAAATAAATAAAAATTAAAAAAAAAAAAAACTAGAAATGAAAGAAAAATGAAGAATGAAAAATGAAGACTAAATTAGAAGAAACATAAGAATGAATAAACACCACAAATAATGCCTTAAGAGGCAAAAAAGAAGAAAATTTTAGAAAGCAAAAGGAAAAAAAAAATTTCAAGAGAAAGTGACAAACAGAGAAGATGGGCAGGAAACGAATCATGAGTGCCCCTCCCACCTGCTTGCCTCCAGTCCACTGTGACTCCAATTTGCACTTGAACAATTTCTGCGGGCCAGTCACCCCCACACCCCGAGTCCCTGAGACCTGCCTCCTTGGACAGTGTGAAGTTGAGGGGAGAAGGTGGCCCAGGGGGCTAGAGGCCATGGCCATGTCCACTACCTGGAGAGACTGTCCAGAGCCTGGATGAAGTTATCTGTCCCTGAGCTGTCCTTCTCAGGTCTCTCCATCAGTGACATGGTAGCAAAGACCACATCACTGGCCAGGAACTTATGCTTGAAGCCAAAATGAATGCTGAAAGTCTGCACACGCATGTCCTTCATCCTGCAACAGGAGGAAGTGATGTGGATGTCACATGGCAGAGTCCTCACGTGTGGATGGGCTCTCACCACTAGGCCAGGACAGCAGAATATGCTGCTGTTGCCCGCCCCCCGTCCCCTAACACACAATGGCAGTATGAGAATGGAGGGTGTTAGAAGGCCTGACATAGAGCCCTGTAACCTAGGGCACCAAGCACCTTGTCCAAAGCTGCTCAGCTGGTTAGGGGCAGAACAATAACTAGCTGCCAGGCCAGGTTGTGTGTGGTCCTCTCCCACGCCCTAGGAGGCCAAGATCAGCCAGGCACAGCTCCTCCAGCTGTGCTAGAGAACCTGGTCGGAAAGAGCTGGCCTGAACCTGCCCCAGTGGGCCCTTCAGTGAGGGATGCACTGGGTTGACCTCAAACATCCACTCCTCTGCTCCAGGATCTGAGGATTCTGTATCTTCTGGGAACTTTACAAAGCCCTACTTTTAACCCAAAGAGAACTCACAACTTCAGGAAAGACTCCACAGGTCATGCTTATTTGTGCATTCCTGGGTTTTGCACTATTTTAGGAATGTGGTTAAAGCTGAAGCCTTAAGGAAGCTTCATACAGAAAAACAGGTGTTTACCCAAATTTATTTGCAGATTCTTCAATCATCTCCCGCAAATTCTCCTTCAAGGAGCTGTCCATAGACTGAAACTTCTGCTTCACCTGTTTCAGGGGGAGACTGGAAAGATGGTAAACATTAGGCACACAAGCAACCTGGCTTCAAATAGAGAATGCTGAAACACCAAAGGGATGGAGAGAACCCCACAAGGGGTCCCAGTGTTTGTAAACAAAGGACATCTGTGGGGGCCTTCAGATTACACTATGGTCAATTCAGAGAGAGGAATTTATGGCAGAAACAGGCAGCAGCTAAATATTACCAAGTCAGTGACAACAAAGGGGAGGGGCTTTTCCCTTAGGGGCTGCAGGTGGGGGACTCCAGGCCAAGGCAGTCACTCACCCCATGTCCGCGAGAAACTCCTGGAGCCGCTTCTGCCCGTGCACAGACCACAGCTTGAACCTGGCTGCAGTGTAGCACGTGTTGCACAGGCTGTCGTGGAGGGACCAGTGCTGGTAGAGCACCAGGCGGAGGCTGGGCCCGTAGTCAAGGAGGCTGCCGTGACCTGGGGTTCCACCCACCCTGTAACGGCCCACTTTTGATGCTCCAGCAGATGGCCTGCTTCACCCACCAGGGCACGACCAGTTACCAACTGGATAAACTGGAGCTCTTTAACTTTCTTAGCTTAATCTGACTCACACAGAAAGTTTGTGAGGTGGTGGGTGTACACCATTATCTCTGTGTGACAGACAGGGAAACTGAGGTAAAGGAGCTCTGACAGCCTGTATACTGTGGTCAGAGAGCCCCTGTGGCTCCCTGTGTCCTCTACCTGACCCTGCCCTCCGCCCCACCTATCCCTGCTGGCTCCCACCCTCACTGCTCATGGGGTCAATAATGAGGCTGTGTATGAGGACGGGCCCATCTCCCAAGGCCTCTCCTCTCACACTGGAGGGTCTCAGGCAGGATGCCAGGCTGGACCTGCCTGCATCTAAGGGCCACTGCTCCTGCCAACACACCTGCCCTGACCAGCCTCTGTGTCTTCTTTGCTGCCCCTCCAGAGGACTAAGCTTCACAGCCACTATCCTCTCTGCCCACACCCCAGACAAGCTGTGGTTCCTGATGCCACGTCTGGACCCGGCTCCTGCACAGTGTGGCCCCTCTCCCAGGAACTCAGATGCCCCACACCCAGCACCTCTTCCTACACCTCCCATATGACCTGTCCAAACCCATGTTATTCACCCCCAGCCAACCCAGCACAAGGAAAGAGAGGCAGTCCTTGTCCTTATTCTGTCCACTGCTGAAGCAGCCCCAGCATGCCTCATGCTCACTGCTGTGGTCTGACCCAAGCCACCATCCAGTCTCCTTTCCTCAAATAGGCAGTCCAGGGACCTTTTAAACACCAAGAACTGAACTCAGTCACTGCTGGGCTCACAGCGCTACCTGCTTTGGCTTCTCCAACTCCCAAACCCTGCCTGTCTCTCTAGCCCCTTCCTGGGGCTCACCTGAGGGCCTCTGCATGGCCAACAACCTCTGCCCAGACCACTCTCCCTCCCACGGAGCATAGCTGAATCTCAGCCTGGGCAATGGCCTCTCCAAGGACTTTCCCGAGCAACGTGGTCCCATTGCTCTTTGGTTAACTCCATCAAACCCCACATGATCTCATGAAATGCCACTCTGTAATCACATGCTGGCTGACTTTTTTCCTGACTTGACAGGAGTCTGCAATGTCACTGAACTGCCTACACCACACAGGCAGCCCCACATGCCCTCTAGCACCAGGCCTAGAATGAGTTCTAAAAAGATACGTGAGGTGTCTAAAAAGAGCTGTGGTGTCTAGGAGCCAAAGCCACACAGAAAAGGTGAGGCAGAACCTGATCCTCAGTACCTGGTGCTCTGCCCAGCCCAGGGCACATGGGGTCCCCCTTCTTCAAGCCTCTTATCCCATCTGCTGTCTGTCTTGGGGACATGGCAGCCACGGCCACACAACCTGCAGCTCTGCAGCTCTCAAGAGTGTCACACACAGAGTACGTGAGCTGGGGTGTGCAGAGGTGACAAACGAATAGCACACAACAGAGCAAAGTGTCTGAGGGCAGGGGAGCTGCCTACACCCCGAATGCATGAGCCACAAGGATACTCATACTCAAAGGAGATGCGCATACAGTCCACAGAGAGGGCGTTCTCTTCGTCCTCGTCCCGGTGGTTGTGCCGGGACACGTGCCGCTGCAGGATGCCAATATCTGTCACGTACTTCATCCTGGGAAGGAAGCACCGCTGGCTTGGGTGGGCTCCCTCCTCTCCTCACATGCAGCCTGCCATAGCTTCCCCCTCTCCTTCAGGGTTTCCCTTCCCAGGATCAGGGGCCAGCCCACTGTTCAGGTTGCTTCTCACCACCTCTGTGTAGAAACCATCATGGCAAAGGGGTAGCAAGGATAGGCAGCAAGGGGAGCTGAGTAGACGGAGCTGGAAGAGGTGAGCTCTGGCCTCCCCAACCCACACTCCTCTGGGCATCAGCTGCACTGTCGTTACTTATTTGAGGCCTCCTGGGAGTGGGCACTGCAGAAGGCCACAGCCCTGCCCACTAGCTACAATCGAGTGGACATATCCCCATGAGTGACAGTGATCCACAGCAAAGGGTGTGGACCAAGCATAGGAAGTGCTTATAAGCACAGTAGGAAAGGGCAGACCCAAGTCCAGGTGGCCACTGAGCAGGGTGGTGACAGCATGGCCTCTCCAGAGGGGAGGTCACAGGCCAGGGACGGTGCCTGGTGCTGCACACATCCCATGCTCTCCTTTGCGGGGGAGGAGGGAGGCCCATCAAGGCGGCAGGCTGGGCCAAAATGACAGATCCAGGAAGTGCCCCAGGCCTCCCTGAGTTTCAGGACCCTCCCACTCCCTGGGCCACACTACCGGACCTAGACAGGTGGAGGAGGCAAAAAAATAGGAAGCATGGGGACCTCTGCAAACTACAAGGAGGCTGGGCCAGGGGTGATGCCAGGTGACAGACTCAGATCCCCCAGGAAAGGGTTAGCGTCTTGAAGCCAAGGTTTCTGATTCCCTTGGAGTCCCCATCTGACAGCCACCAGAGTGGGGATGAGTCAGGGCTCTGGCAGCCTACCCCTCTCTGGCACCTACATTCTGGGGTGGCCTTTCAGCTTATCTATCTGACTCTGATAGCAAGAAGCAAAGTCTGCCCACCAAGGGGCAAAACAATTCTTTCTATGACAGTCGTCCCCACAATCCTCTCGAGCCTTCCGTTTGCCTTTTGAGATCACACCCTCCCTCCCTGGCAGGACTCCTGGGGCCCTGACCTCCTCATGCCCTGTCTGTTGTGCATGGGCCACACCTCTACACTCGACCATGCTCATAGCACAGGGCACAAACAGCACGCAGAGCTGGGACTTGGGGCTCCATCCTCTCACCTCTGGCTCCACCTGCTGGGCTTCCCAAGGATAGACAACACATCCACAATAAGGCCAAATGCTATTCTGACAGAGTTCCCGGCACTAAGCCCTTCCTTGGTGACAAGGACCCAGGCCCAAGGCCAGCCCATCCTCAGTGGGGCTCCACAGTGGTGCTGCCACCCGTCTCCCCAGCACAAACTCAGAGGCTGAGGCCAGGCTGTGCACATCATCACGGCACAGGCCAACTCAACCAGCCCGAGGGAGTACGTCCTTACTGGGTGATCTTGTCCTGTACCCACTGGTCCGTTAGTCCAACGATGGCCCACCTGGAAGGGGAGGACGATGAAGCAGTGAACAGAGAAGGGCAGGCAGGAGCGTCCTGCCATTGTGACCAGACCCAGGCCCACCCTCAGACAGGCAGTCCCCCTCTTCAGGGTGGACAGATGACGGGGGGAGACTGAGGGCCCCTGGTTCCATGTCTTCACTGCAGAAACTCTTGGTGCACAAGGAGATCGAGGACAAGGACACGGGGAGCTGCTCCCTGTATCCTGGCTGGCCCGCCAATCTCGCCTTCTCCCTGCCAGTGCAAGACTGCAGCAGACACCTACACTCAGGCCTCTGGCGCCTCACTCTGCCTCTCTGAGACCCTCAGGTTCCCCCTTTCTGCGATATGCCCACAGAAAAGCAGATCCTTGTCACATCCACGGTTCTCTGTCCTTCTGGAGTAAAATGATGGGATGTAGAGTAAGAGCATTTATGTCCCTTAATAACCTTCCAAATTTCCTTCTCCAAGCTTATCTTTTGTGGATTAGATAACGGAGTTCTAGGCTGGCCTGACCTCCCTGGGGTCACAGGCAGCTCTCACAGCAGCAGGGACCAGGACCCCAGGTACATGCCATCTGCTGATCCCAGGCAGTAGCCTTCAAGACACCCCTCCAGGCCCACAGCTAAGGACACAGGCACAGAGTGAGGCAGGAGAGGCCCTGGGGGTGGGAAGCCAGTCACTGGAGCACCCACCCCATCTCTTAGTGCAGCATGCCCCCACCTCACAGGGACCTCTTTGGAAAATGCCACCTGGACTGTCATCCCTGAGACCAACCCCGCCTCCTGATTTTTCCACTCCAGTGTGCCAAGAGCTCCTGCTTGAAGCAAACTCAGAGGTAGCAGGACAATTTTTCCTGAATCAGATTTCACCACATGCCAGGGTTGCAAGGATGCTGAGCATGGGCTGCCTTGTTCAAATCTCACACTCCTTCTGTAACCTGAATTTCCTGGGCAGCAAGCCTCAGTGGTAAGGTGGGAAGGGAGGAGCTGTACACAGGACCCATTGTCCGACCCTCTGCACTGGCTATGTTTCCTCCACACATGACCTGAGAGCCTCATAGTTAGATAGAAAGCCAGAGCCATGCACATCCCCAGAAAGGGAGCTGCATTTGATGTTCCCGGCAGGGACAGAGGAGGTGCATATGGTGACATCCTCCTCCAGACCCTGCCCTCACTGTGGGAGGACAGGGCTGCTAGGAGAAGGAAGCCACATGTGGCACTGACCTTAACTAAAGGCTACATACCACAGCATGTCATTCAGATCTTTGGACATCATCCATGCCAGGTCGAACATCACCATGGCTGACTGCAAGAAAAAGAGAAGCCTGAGTCCAGAGGTAGCCACACCTATGGAGGGGGTGTCCGCTGGGGCCAGACCTGAGCTGCCCAGAGCCCAGCCAAACCCCTGCAGATCAAGGGTCTGCCTGACCACGGTGTGTGTGGATTCTAGGCTAAACTGAGGAAGACAGAGTCACTCAAGTGACCTGAACTGTCTCCTCTGCTTACTGAAGTCATTGCTACCCACACACTTCATCCAGCTAGGGAAGGCAGCCAGGTACAGCATGTGCTGGGGCCTCTACACATTTCCTTGAGTTCCCTGGTGTTACCCAAGGGAGGCACTTAATTGGGGAGGTCAGGGACCTCATCATCCTCATGACCCTTTGTCCACAAGCTCTTCTTGCCTGGCTGGCGGCCTCTAACACATTTCAGGGAAGGCTGTGAGGCAGGGCCTTGGTTCCAGTTACCTGGATGTTAAAGAGGGAGGGGGCCTTTAGGACCCCTTGTGAGGCAGGTCTTTGTAACAGACTGGCCATGGACGGAAGCATACAGCTCCCTGTGAGCACAGGGTCTGTGTTTTGGTAGGAGGCAATGAAGGCAGCTCAGTGTCTGACTAGAAGACACTAAAGTCCCCTAAGCTGTGAGAGACTGGGCCTCTTTCTAGGGAGGATTTCCAAGGGAACACCCACCTATCTAGAGGGACCCAGGCACCCGCTGCCCCATCTGCACCTTCTCAGAGTGAGCATCACCCATCTACCCACTGCTTAGACTTCTCCATTGGCCTGGGCAAAGCAGAGAGGGCAAAAGGACAATCCTTCGAAGGACAATGGGACCTTGACATAAAAGGGACATTGGAGAGATGTTCAGAGTTCAAGGCCTCAGGGCCAGATGCAAAGACCAAATATGGCATATTCCACTGGGAACTTATTTTCCAGGCCTCCTGAAGGCCCTGAGCTCTGCTCAGGACTCCTGGACCAACAGAGTGCTTCTCTATAAGAAATTCTGCTCCATAACGCACACAGAGGGGCCTTTATAAGTCTGCAGCTTTATCTTCTTGCACAAGGCTAATACAGACTAGTTCTATATTTTTAATTATGAAAAAAAAATTATCACTGATGTTCTTTGGGCACATACTGGGTGCGAGGGGTCATCCTAACAACTGCTGCTGAAATGAAGATTGTTCTCTTTCTTTAGTGAAGGAGGAATTTAAGGCTCAGAAAGGCTATACCACCTTCCCAAGGTCACACAGCAGGAAACCATAGGGCTCAGATTCAAATGAGACTTTTGTAGCCCTGAAACCTATGCTCATTCCTCATGTTGCAGGACCCTGATCCCGCCCCAGTCGGAACTCTGTAGTGAATTCTACCTATCCATACTTACCGATGTCCCATGATATTCATACTGCTCATAGTCAAAGAGGATGTCTCTTCTGTAACAAAATAAAGTGCAACATAAAACATGGGTCTTCGCCAGAAAGTTCAGGAAGCCGAAGACGTGGAAAAAATGCTAAAATTTGACAGCACTCAAGGAAATGCAAGTAAAGTCACGGTGCCTTTGTTTTCACTCACTGACTCTTCCTTGCAGTGTACAGGCACAAGGCTGGGAAGGGAGCAATATGAACACAAACCGCTTGTGACAATGGAAGATGTACAATAGCACAGTACCAGAACCCCACTGCCGAGGAATTATCCCAAGACAACCATTCAAAGGAACCAGCAAGACCAAACTTGCTATGTGCACGAGGTTGTTCACCGTGGCCCTCCTTGTCATGGCAGAATACTGAAGTAACACACAGTTCAAAATGGAGGAGAACGGCCAATTAAGTATTGTGTGGTTCTGAAAGGCTGTTTGGAACTATCTAAAAGGGTATATTAGGTGGGAAAAAAAGCACAATTAGGTGCCTGTTATGATTATGTAAAATATGTGCAAGTATAAATAATCCAGGAAGATCAATCCAAAGCCAGAATCTCTTCCCTTTAGTGAAAACAGATTATGTTCACTTTTCTTACACTTCCTGAAATAGTTTTACATTGTCTTTCCACAAGGAACAGCAGGGCACAGCAGCCTGACCTTGAACAACTGGATCCAGCAAGGAATTTCCAGCCTAGCGGCATTGCTGCATGTTCACTTCAAGTTAGAATAACTTATCCAATATTTTTATTTTAGAGCACTTCAGTTTTTAAATTTGCAACGTGAAAAGGGATTATGGATAACTTCGTTTTCTTTTCATATTTTTGTTCCTTTGAAAAGTTTTACTCAATTGGCATCTAACTCATTTGTAAAAACTTGTAAATAAAAGTTATCCACATCTAGAAAGTAATAAAAAATAAAAGAACCAGGGCTGTCACCCTTAACAGATGGCATGTATTTGGGAGAACCTTGGGCCTGGTCCTGTCACTCATGGGACCAGGACCACTACAAAAAGGACCCAGAGTTCTCCAAGCAGGGACTGCATGCTCACTAGAGGCGCCACTGGCCCAGCGGTTCTACACTGAACAAATCATCCTCAAATGGAAAAAAATGCATGCAGCTCCCAGTGAAAAAACAGGTGTCAGTGACCCCATAGACCCTCAGGGACAATGGGGTGCTGCTTGAAATGCACACTCACCTCCGGGCTTCCCACTCTCTTCGCTCCCTCCTTTTCATGGTTCGTGCTACTATCTCCTGATACAGGAACAAAGAATAGGGTAAGCAAATAAACCAGGACTTTATTCCCACAGCCCAAGAATATTCTAATTTGACAGAAGCCATTGGTCCCAGATCCAGAACATGGGACACTCCCAGGCCCCGAGTACAACCTGCTTCTGCAGAAGGGAGATACCTCGGGGATGAATGGGACCCCTCTAGCCCATCAGCGCTGAAGACGCTGACAAGAGTGGATGCTTCCACAGCATCTGCTCAGGCCACATTCTGTCTGCCTCAGCTTTCCATCGCCCCCACCACCATGGGATCTGGGATAAGCGCACAGCCACCTCACACCAGCTTCCCCACCAGGTTAGTAAGAGCTAAAGTTTCTTACATCCCACCACACGTCAGTGACTATTCTAGTTTTATAAGCACAACCTCATTTAGTTCTCACAGCCAAGGAGTGAGGTAGTGTGGCAGTTTTAAACGTCACAGTCCTGAGACTTCTGCTTCTACAAAGATGCAATAAACATATTTTTCCCTGTATGTCCACTAACTAAAACCCCCGATATCATATATAATACAAAATAAGACTTTGAAAGGTAGAGAGAAAGGCTCACCAACTAGGGACCCCAGAGCCCCAGGACCTAAGGAATGACGCACTGATAAATTCTCTGGGTTTATTTTTGGCTCATATATCCCAAACTTGGAGCTGAAGAAGCTGGTAACCTATTAACACCAAGTACAGGCAAAACAAAACAAAACAAAATATCAGCCACTTTTAATAAACTCAGGATGACCAAACCAGCCTTAGGAGTGTTTCCCTGCCTTACTTCTGACTTTACCTGTGGTGGTGACCAAATTCATTACAATCTCAAAGGGAACAAAAACCTTGTTTAAAAAAATCTTATTCTGAGCATTCCAATAAGTTTTTTTGTTTTACTTAGCTGTACTGTAAATACTTGGTTTGTACAGTATGGTTAAAAAGGCAAAAGATAAAAGGTTTCTTTTTTCCCTTTTGCCTATGAAGTTGCTGTTTATTTACTTTTGGCCAATACGCGAAAGCTCCAGTGTGCTCTGGCATCTCATCAAGACCACTGACCTTCTCCGAGGTGCTAAACCCGCGGCTCCGTTCTCATCTGCCCGCTTCCCCCATCAAGTGTCCATAGCCACCTTCATACAGTGCCAAGCCACTCCCTGTCTAGCCCCTTACCTTGCTGTATTTTTCCTCATAATATCTCATCCTGAAAACATGCTCTGCTTACACTCATTTACACGTTCTTATCTGTCCCCACCCACTAGAAAGGAAGTTTCGTGAACGTAGAACTTGTTTTGCCCCTCAGTATCCCAGAGCCTGACCAGTATGGGGCACAGAGTAAATGAAAATGACACTTGGGGTCCTATGAAACAATTAAAAGAACACTATAAAAAAGAAGCAGTCAGAGGACAAATAGGGCTCACAGAAATCAAAGATTCAAAGATAAAGACCAAAGGTCTGCCAGAAAGTAGAACAGATAAAAAGCTGGGAAAGAGGAAGAAAAATCTCAGAGTGGGTCTGACCGTCCCCATCACATCACTCAAAACTTGAGAGAAAGGAGCGGGCAAAGGGGAGGAAAGCAAGGTGAGACATTCCTAGCTTTGCAGGACAAGCCCTCCCCAGATGCACAGTGTCCCAAATATGGCTCATAAGGGCTCTGCGAAAGCGTGATATTAAGAGATGCCAGGCCCTAGAACATTCCAGAGGCAATTTCAGCCTGTACACCATGGATCAGGAGCCAGAGAGCATCAGCTCGTCAACACTAAGCGCTAGAATAAAGCACAGCCTCTGTGTTAGAGGAACAACTGCCTCCCACCTGGAATTCTACATCTCACAGAAGCCACTAACACTGGCCAGGCCCCAGATCTAGTCTAGTAAGTGGCTCAGACCCAAGGTTCATGAGGCACAAGCCACTCATGTCTTTGCACACAGGTGCTTCCCTTGCAGTGACCATCTGAGACCAAGCCTGGCCGAGGGCCACAAACCCATGCTGCTACTCCATGGTGACTGCACAGGAAGCAATTCTGGAAGGGGTTGGGGAAGGCAGGTGACACTTAGGCAATTTATTGTTTCTCTGTATCACTTTTTATAAATGTTTGCTGTCCACATGTACAGCTGAGCTGTTCTCAGTTTCATTTCATCTGATGGGACTCTACTGTACAGATAAGAACACTGTGCCTCAGGGAAGTCCAGCACTCTGCCATGCAGCCAGAACATAGCACTCACACCAGCTGCCTCCCATCTAAGTCTAGGCCCAGGGGGCTCCGGACCGACCTCTGACCTCTGGGAGAGACTTAAGTTTCTTAAGACTGGTGAGAAGCCCAAACGCACCTCTTCTAACCCTTCTAACCGTGTGCGCTTCTCAGAAGGCTCTGGTCCATCATCTTTTTCATTTTCCGAATGCTCTTCATCCTCCTCTTCGTCCCTGAAGATGTCATCGTAGGCAGGAACTTCAAGGTCGTCATCTTGTTTAATGAGTAGTTTGATCTAAGAATAAAACAAAGAACAATCAGGTCTCTCCTCTCTTTTGACAAAAAAACTATTCATCGTGTTTATCTCTTGAAGAATCTTATTTCTTAATTGGCTGGCTCATAACTTTTCTGTACATACAAGCAGCTACCTGTTTGTAATTTAAAACTTTCCTGGTATTTAAAACTTTCACGTATTTAAAAATTTTCATTTCCATTAAGTGAGGTGCTGGAGTTGCACCACACTGTATGCAGAAATTACAAAACCTTGAGAACTATCCACAGCCACTAGGGAAAAACTCCCTCTTACGCCAACACACCAAGCCAACAAAATGAACATCCCCTTTGGCCTGCCAAAGGACACGAAGATGGACGACTCCAAAGTGAGGACAACACCTGCCTCTAAAAGCCGCTCCAAACAGGCTGATTCCTCTGGGAGAAGCCTTTCACGTGAGAATTCCGAGGCTGACACTTCATTAACGTGGGTGGGAGAAGATCAACTCAGACAAAAGTTAGGTGGCTGCTGTGCGCCAGGCTCCCTGCTTGCTGCTCAGGAGTTCAAAGAGTAAGTGCAGCAGAAGCATTTTAGGCTAACAATGGCCTTTTCCACCACTGTTTTGCTGGTCCTCATGCCGCCCCTTGGATGGGCAGGGCAGACGCCTCTGAGGTCCCTTGATATTTAATGAGGCTGGCCGTGTCTGAGTTCTGAGGGCAGACTCGGTGCAGGGTTCTGATCCCTATACCTTTCCAGTCAAGCAAATCTTACAAATGCACTCTGAGCAACTCCAAGGGTTAGATGTCACATTTCTCAACAAAGATGCACAAAATGAGGCTCTTGTCTTGCTAGGACACCGGGTACAATGCTGTCATTGGCATACAAGGGAACAGACAGATAGATGGGAGAATACAGGAGACGGATGGGCCCCAAAGGCCTAGTTACCTGGGTGTCATTGTACACATTCACAACATTGACTGGCCTATGGGTGTCACACACAAAAAATACAGCATCTTCATCAGGTTGGAGGATATCCAATAGGTCTGCATTAGCTCCACAGTTAATGAGGATAAAATAACGGAACTGGGAAAAAAAAGAGATATCATGAATGAAGTTAAGTACATGGAGAGGGTCCCTTTACCTTCTTCAGCGCACTAGGCCTCTGAGTCCTACTGAGACACATCAGACCCCTAACACCTGGCAAGGCCTGATGGCGAGGGGCTCCAAACAGGGCCAGAGCTGGCCTGTGCTCAGTGCTTTGACATATTCCATATACTATTTCATTTCCATAACAACACTGTGAGGGGTCCCATGGTTGTCCCCGCTTCACTGTAGAGCATGCAGAGAGGCTCAGCACACCTGGGTCTCATGCATTTGGGACCCAGAATTTGACGAGGGTCAAGAATTCAATAAGGAACAGACCAAGACCTCAAACGTGTAACTGGGCCTCTCCAGATCTCAATTGCTCTACTGTGATGAGCTGTCTCCCCATGCTAATAGTATTCTATACATTTAAAACTTTAGCAAATCTCGGGTAGCCCATACTTAATGGACACCTAAACATTAAGTTTTTATTACAACCCATCACTATAGAAAACCCTTTCCTTATAAATACAGAACTGGCTGAGGCCCCTCCCATGACGACAGGAGCTCCAGGTCAGGATTTATGTCTGCCAGGCAGTCCTAGATACAGCCGGCTGGAGGCTGCAGGGGCCCTCTTCCACACCCCAGTCTCCTCCCCATGGGGTCTCGGATGTTCCGACTCTCATTATAGCCCCATACAGAGGTGAGACGAATCCTGACCTCTATTGTTTAAATTACGTTCTGGATTCCAAGTTGGAAACTAGAACACATCTTCTTGGAGAGATAATGTAAAATAGTAGCTTAATCTAAAATATCAATAATTTTTAACTAGGCCATATCTAAAACAAACTGCTAAATTCCAATTACCTTATAGTGAAATGTCTGCAACACAAGTTCATAGAGGCTATCCATATTCATTACCTTTTTTGTTGTTCTTGAAGATACGTAACCCAGACATAAAGCTTGTTTTTCTCCTCCATATTGCCTAATATATTTGATACTAAAATAACAAGTTGTAATTGAGTTAAAAAAAGCCTAATTATTCCAAAGTATGTTTTGCATACCTGCTCTTTATGTTCTAGAAATGCAGTTTCAAGTTCTTGCCACCCAGAGACAGGAACCAGTGTATACTGTACGTGGTCACACTGGAACAGGGCCTGGAGAGAGAGCATTTCAAGGCCTATCACATTTGGAATGTCTTTAATTTACCTTGAAATGCACTTAAAAATAAATAAGATTCGTCGAGGGACAAATCTCACATGACAAAGGTTAGTAAAATATTAATGGGAAAAACTAGGTGATGGGGATGTGAGTGTTTACTATGCTATTCTGTAAACTTTGTCGAACTTTTGAAAATTATCAAAGAAAAACATTGGGAGAAAAGGTGATCTTATTTCTAGGTCCTTTTTTTAAAAAAAGATTTTATCTATTTATTCCTAGAGAGAGGGGAAGGGAGGAAGAAAGAGAAGGAGAGAAACATCAATGAGAGAGAAACATCAACTGGTTGCTCCTGATCAGCACCCTGACCCGAGGATCCTGCAGCCCAGGCATGTGCCCTGATGGGGAATGGAACTGACGACCTTTTGCTTTGCAGGATGACACCAACCAAGCCACACTGGTCAGAGCTTTTTAGGTCTGCTTGGAAGTAGTTCCTGAAGCAAGGGCCTCATCACAGCTCACGTAAATATCCATCACACCATATTCAAAGCCGAACCAATGACCTTCCTTCCATAATAGGCTATCCTGCATTTCCAGTATTGCTTATGATACCACTATGCCCTAAACTGTCACAGATTCTTCTGTCTCAAACCCCACATTTCAGAAGCCACTACAGGTGTACAGGTCTCTCTAACGCAGTCATTTTTTGCCTAGTTTATGCAAAACTACTACCTATTTTCCCTGACTTTTGCCTAATCTTTTCCTAACCCACTCAATACTGCCCCAGGGAAGCTACCTCTCAAAAGTCCCTCTCCCCAGCTTTCAGTTGTTGCTCCAGGCCCCATCCAACCAGGGCTCTCACCTAGGAAGGGGTTCCTTCCCTTGCTCCTTACCTCCCTTCCCGTTCCCCACCCTACCAAGTTCCCTCCAGACTCTACGCCCCCCACCTCCCGCCCATGCCCACCTTGCACCCTCACATCTCTCCCAGTCCCACCCTCCCAGGGTCCTCAGTGCTCACCTGAAGGATCTTGCAAGCGCACAGAGCATCCACGTCCGAAGCCACGAAGAGAAGGACCCTCTGTCAGGTGAAGAGAGGGAGAGCTGAGCGCAGAGCCCCTAACCCGGGCCCTTCCCGTTCTCCCACGGCCGCTCCCTTTCATCCCTTCCCCGCGAAAAGCCTTGGGGCCCAAGAAAGGGGGGGTCACCTGGTTCTGGACCACCTCGTAGAACTCTTTGCGGAAATCGGACACGAACATGACCACGGCGGCCAGACACTCAGAGCTCAAACTTAGTCACCTAGAGCCCCGGCTGGGGTCAAGACTCCCGCCAAATCAGGGTTTTGCCAATTGGCCCAGGGGCCAACCAATAGCTACTTAATTCCCGCCTTTCTTCCTTTATGATTGGTCCACATTGCGGCAGCTGTAAGGCTCCGCCATTGACTGCTGGAAAACTCTGTCCCTCCCCCACGGCGCATCATCAACCAGCCGGACGAAAACACTGCCACTCTGACTCTCGTTTACCCAGAAACCCCAAGGTCTGTGGACATCTTTCCTTTGGGTACAGAAGTCTATTACTCCCCCACTGGAACTCCAGAAAAAGTTAAATATATTTATACATCGAACGAAGGCATCAGTTCCTAATTGCAATAGGCTCTTGGTCTATTTCGAAGGCGGACACGTAGCTTACTTCCGCTCGAGTCCTCCAAGGCTGCAGCAAAGACCACAAGGTCTAGTGCATCTTGGGTAATGTAGTCAGTAACGAAAATGGGCCCTAGTAAATTCGCCTAGAGGGGGATACTATCAAAATGTAATTTTAAATAATGTTTTGAATTCATCTAAAGTGGACACAAGTTCGAAAAGATACTTCAATGTTCATCCCGGGAAAACTTTAAACCCAGGTTCCTTTGCCTGTCTTTTTCTTTTTGGCCACCGAGCCGTGTCCTCGGCTCCTCCCCCCGGATCTCAAGTCCGGCACTTCCGGTGAGCCTCCCAGGACTTCCAAACTGAGGCGGCAGCGGCAGCGGCTGTGAGGGGTGCAAGTTGGCCGCTCCTGGTCTTAACGTTTTCTGGACCTAGCGGCATCCGCGAGTCAGAGGCGCCATCATGGTGAGCGCGGCGGGACAGGGCTCGGGAGCTGGGGCTGGGATTGGGACCCTGCGGGTTGGACGTGACGGCTGGGGAGATGCCGAGTCACCCGGGCCTGAGTCAGGCCCGTCTGCGGGTCCGGGGAGCATCGGGCCAGAGCCGAACTCTTGACCACGAACGGTCGTGGGTCATCCCCGCTAGTTGGAGACGTAGTTCGCGTTTCTTCTCAGCTGGACTTGAGCTCCTTCCGTGTTTGCCTCCGCCCACGGGTTTCGCAAGTGGTAGACACGGAACAGATTTCCATAAACACCAAATTAATTGAAAGGTGGTTGGGGTGAGGAGCAGAATCAGGGGCTGCTCAGGAAGACTGCGTGGGGGGAATGTCCCTGTGAGCAGGAACACTCCGCTCTTGCCCCAGATCCTTGACTAGCCCAGTACCTCCTGGGTCTGCCTGGGTAGTAAGCATGTCTCCAGCTGTTTAAGCGATTCAGTAAAGGTAGCAGTAATAGCTAATATTTGCTGGCGCTTTTCATTTTACACGGCTCTTTAAAAACAAAACAACAACAACAAAAAAACAGTCCCTCGTTACACCGTACCTCATGTAAAGCCTACGGTGCCCTTGGAGGCAAGAGTGATAATTATTGTTTTAACCATGAGAAAACTGAAGTTCAAAGAGGTAGATAGTTTAGGTCCCAAAAATGGGGACTGGAAATTTGAAACCCAGCCTGTCTGTCTGCGAAGCTCAGTCTAATTACTCCTGTACACAGCATTGCCTCCGTGTCGCCTGTTCATTTTTGTAAAAACAAGGAGTGATTATTAGATTTTATCCTGAGCGTGTCGGTGTGGAATCATACTTCTATTCTCAAGTTTATCCACTTAACAGACATTGAATACTGGATACGTGGAAGGCAATATGCTAAGCATTGGGCTTATTATAAAGGAAAAGAGGGTTTAGTGTGGGGAACAGCAGGGAGGGGCAGAAAGTCAGGTGTCTGGGTGGGTTGAAGGCAGGTTGATATGGGTATTAAGTACTTTGCCTATCTTCCTCTTTCGTTTAGCAGAGAAGAAATGGTTTAGATGGGGTGGGGTAGTGAGAGGGACTCAGGAAGGCCCCTACTCTTCTTCCTTCTTTCATCCAGAAACACTTTCATTTGTTCTGCTTCTGGCCAAGATGGTGTTGAACAGAGTTCTGTTGGTTAAAAGAAGAGAGTCAAAGGCTTGAAAACTGCTAGAACACAGGGAGTGAAGAACCATTTGAGATTTTAAGCAGGAGTGTGCTGTAGTTGCATTTTTAGAAGATGACTGATTCAGCTTGCTAATTTTGGAACTGCTAGTAAACTCATCAGTAGATGGCTTTCCCTCTACTTAATGTATTTTTGGAATCAAGTCAAGACATATTTGTCATTTTGGGTTTTATTAAAAAACTTATGGTAAAAAAACAATTTTTAAGTGTACAGTTGAATAATGTTTACATGAGCTTTCTCATCTTGCAAAACTGAAGCTATGTACCCACTAAACAATCCTCCATTTCCCCATCCCTCAGCCCCTCAAAACCAACATTCTACTTTTTGTCTCTCTGAATTTGACCACTCTAGGGAACTCATATAAGGGGAATCGCCCAGCTTTTTGCGTTCAGCTTATTTCGTGTAGTATAATGTCCCCAAGGTTTATCCACATGACATATGCAGAATTTCCTTCCTTCTTAGGGCTGAACACTATTCCATTGTATGTATACACCACATTTTCTTTATCCACTTATCCATCAATGGACGCTTCTGTTGTTTGTACCTCTTCACTATTGTGAACAGCGCTGCTGTGAACATAGGTGTGCAAATATCTCTTCAAGACCCTGCTTTCAGTTCTTTTGGATATAGACCCTGTTGTACTATTATATTCTTTTTTTTTTTTTTTTTGGAAATGTCATAAGTGAAGTACTTTGAGAAGTCCCCAGGTTGCTGTGTAATATGTTTTCTAAGCTTCATCATAAGGCACAGCTTTAAGAGTTGGGATCTTAACCTTCTTGATGGCACCATGTCCCAGGAGGGAAAGAGTGCCAGGGGGTAGCACAACTTGAGGGCACACTGGAGGGGCACCAGCCCTGACCCTGGGCAGAGCAGGGAAGTTTCCTGGAGAAAGGAAAGGGGAAGAGATGAAAACACTGGATGCCACTCTTCCCACTGTCTGGATGCCATTCCCTGTTTTTCTGCTTGGCTCCCTCTCCGGGCATTCCAGACTCTGTAGGGTACCTTCCTGACCACACATTTAAAATAGCATTCCCAGGAACTCTTTGTTCTTTAACTTCTGTTGTCCTCAGAGCATTTATCACCTCCTGACAGCAAGCGTTTTCTTCTGCATGTTTCCCTTGTCTTGAATGTCAGCTCTTCCAGGGCAGAGATTGTACCTGTTTTGTTAGTAAACAGACATCCCTGGAGTGAAGTTCCCCTAGTGCTTAGATCAGAGTCTGGGAGATAGTGGGCACTCAATAAATAGATGCTTTTTTAATTAACGAGAGGAGAAGTGTACCAGGCAGAGGAATCAGACCAGTGGTGGGGGTGTGGGGGGATGAGGAGATGGCAGGTGTGAGAGATTGTGGGGCCTTCAGTAACCTGTCCCAGAGGTGTGTGGAAGTCCTACCTAGATCGCAGTATGTATATAGGGGGAGGGAGGGCATGGCTGAAAGAGGTTAAGAACAGGCTTTGTGCCCAGTTATTTTAGTAAGATCATACCATCTAAAAATGGTGAAGACTAGATCAGAGGACAGACTGAGCATGGCACAAAGGGTGGAAACAGATTTGAGGTTCACTGTGCTACCAAAAAGGGCTTCAGGCAGGCCGCTGTGGTCCTCCAGGAGTTCGCTGCATCTTGTTCTTTACAGTGTTTAGCAGCCTTAACTACTCTGACCTGTTTTGGCTTTTGATGAGACAAGATGTACCTTTGTTTGTTCTAACTCTGGCATCTCTTTTCTCCTTCTAGTTCTCTTTCAACATGTTTGACCACCCAATTCCCCGGGTCTTCCAGAACCGGTTCTCCACGCAGTATCGCTGCTTCTCCGTGTCCATGCTTGCAGGGCCTAATGACAGGTCAGATGTGGAGAAAGGCGGGAAGAGTATGTGCTTGTTTTTACTTTGAATAGTAATTTTTCCTGCCCTCAACCTACAGTGCTTATAATCTTCAACAGTCCTTATTTAGCATGTGTAACAGTAGCTACTTACAGTGAAAATATTGCTTGACCCAGATTTGCTGGGGTCGGGATGGGGGGGTCCAGATTATGATTAGATTAGATTTATGACTAGTAGCCATTTGGTTCCCAAAAATAAATTACAGCAAGTGAAATTCTTTTTGAAAGATTATTATTAATTCTGGCTACCATATAAGTACTTTTTCATACTTTTTAAAGATGTAACAGAAAACTACATTTTGGCTTTTATTCTATCCTCTTTATTTTTATTTTCTAATATTTTTAAAATGTTCTTTCCACAGTAATTATGCCACCCTCAGCCCTCGATCAACTCAGTAAGTATTTTCTACATGACTTGAGCATCAAGGTAATATAAAGATGGGTGTCACGTCTGGCTGGGAGTTGTCCCTGGAATATCCATGCTGGGCTGTGAGGGCTGAGGCCATAGATGCCCCTGTGAGGTGGCCCTGGGGGCCATGAGTATTCAGATCCAGATCCCTCCTCTGGGAGGGGATCTCCCTGGACCCCATGTCTCTGATCCCATCAGTACTAAAGGAATTCTCGAGCACCAGTGCTCACCACACGGCCTGGGCAGCAGATGCTGTTGGCTAGGTTTAGTAGGTCTTCTCTTAGAGGGCGATGGTTCGCTCCCAAGAAGATGCTGTATCGCAGGCTCTCTTCTCCTCCCCAAGCATCTTTCCTCAGTCCAGGCCCTTATTTCTTCCCCTTCTGCCCTAGTACATCTGCAGCCTGTCAAAAACAGTCTTCTGCCCCAGAAGGTGTCCCTCTTACTGGCTCCTGCCTCTGTCCCTGACCTCCTCATGCCTTGAGAGCAATTTGGAGTCCTCATGCCCTAGCCCTACTCCACCTGGACACAGAAAACCCTGACCACAGTTGCAGCCATTGCCTTTTGAGAGTCGGTGGTTTTTCTGGGTGAATTCCTCCCATTTGGAGCAGGAAATGTGGAGGGCCCCAGCAGGAGGGCCCATACTTGGTGTTCAGTACATCTAGAAAAAGGGTGCCAACTCTGATGTCACTCTGGCTTGGACTTTGCACCTTGCACAGCCTGGCTTTAGACTAGTGACTTGGCCTACCTGAACTTCAGTGACCTCATCTTTAAACAGGAACACACAGCCCCTGTCCCTCAGAGTTGCTATGTGGCAGGAGTACGTCCTCCTAGATGCTGCCCTGGGGTGTGTTTATAAACAGCCTGAACCCATGTAACATCTGCCAGAAGGCATAACGTGGTAGCTGTTCCTTTAGCCGTCAGAGCTTCACCGATGCCAACAGCAGCAGTCGCCACACCCAGTGGAAACCTTTAATCCCAGCTTCAGCTCAGCCAGTGGGTGGGTAGAGTTGAGGGGTTCACATCCCTCAGACAGGTCCCTGTAATAACAGGAGGGGTGAAGGCCCCCAGAGAACCTGTCTTTCCATTTGAGCTGACCCAGGAGCTCAGTACCAGTGTGACCCTTTGCACAAGACTCAGGGATTGGGACAGTGGAATTTAGATCAGTGTTGTTCAAACCTTTTAAGTTATGGGAGAACCTGTCCAAATCTTACAAAATTTATAAAAAGGGTTGCTGCTCAGGCTGGAGTAAGTGAGTGAGAACAGACTACTTGGGAGCCCCAAGGCATTTCTCTGAATCACAAAATGTACTTTGAAAACCAACAGACTGGGGAACACAGGGTTTTCTTCCAACTACAAGAATTCTGAACCCTTGGCTGAAGCCTGATCCAATTTACCCTGTCTGACTTCATTTCCTTCCCATGGCTCTGCAGCAGGGAGGTGCCCCAGGGCCGGAAAGCCTGGCTTGTGGGCCCTTGTCCACCTACTATCGGCATTCAAGAGCCCTTTGTGATGGGGAAACGCCCAAGCTCACCACTGCCTGTGCAGTGAGGAGCCACTTCTGGAGGCTCTCCTCTGCTACCAGTGGTGTCATGCCCAAGCTTGTTTCTTGGTCTGCTTTACCAGAATTTGTAGAGGGTCCCGAATGGAGTCTGCCACACCACCCTGACTGCAGAATGAAGCTTCTGTTGCCATGTTTGCCTAAATCAACAGGCCAAAGTGGGCTTCTAGGGATTTAAGCCCCGGACTTGGCCAGTAGCCTGGGTTGAGTCCCAGTGTCACCACTTCTGGGCCGTGGATCCTGGGGATTGCTGAACCTGTGTGCTTTAGTTCTCTGTAGATAAAAGGGGTAATGGGACGACTGAGTGAGGGCCTTTCGCTGTGTTGGTCTGTCCCAATCCTGGACTCTCCTGGGTCCTGCTCCCCATTGCTAGCTCCTCCTTTTTGTGTCCCCTGCACTTCTGAGTCAGCATGCCAGCAGTCCTGTTTGCCTGCCTATGGCCCTCTGTGGCCTCATCCTCTGAGGGAATGTACTGTGTCATGACCCTGCTGAGAGTCCACACTGCTGACTACTGTCAGTCATCCTACGTGGTGTTCCACCCAGCCTCCCCTTCTGATGGCTTCATACCCTGTCCCTGTGCCCCAGTCTCACCTAATTGTCAGCCATTCCTGAACTCGCTGGGCTCCGCTGGGCTCCCCTGCCCTCTGTGCCGTTGCTCAGGCTGCTTACTCTTCCTGGAATTCCCTTCCTGGCCTTCCCACCCTTATTTGACCGAAGGACATCCTCCAAGAAGAGCCCTGTTCCTCCTGCCCCACCCTTCCCACAGCACCACTGCACTTGTTTTTTTCTCAGCTTGCTCACTAAAAACCTTTGAAAGTGACAGTTTTGTCTAGCACGTGATTGGCATTTGAATTATTTGCAAATGAGTGAACACACCACCTTTTAAAATTGGAATTTCAGGAAATCACAAGTGTAAGCTGCTGCTGAGAACCTGAGTCACTGAACTTTTCTGAGTTCTGGGCCAGGTCCTGTAATCTCACAGGGAACGTGGGGTGTGGTGGTGGGCAGGCACAGACAGACTAAGCACCATGAGGGTCCGAGTGCCTGCTCTGGTGGGACAAGGCTGTGTATATCCACAGTGGGTGCCCAGGAGACTGCTTTCTAGGGGAGCGTGTTGGGGGAACAGAGTTTCTCTCCCTTGCAGAAGCCTTGTCACATAGCCTTTCTTGTTTTCAGGCCGACTCAACATTACTTACCCCATGCTGTTCAAACTGACCAACAAGAACTCGGACCGCATGACGCACTGCGGTGTGCTGGAATTTGTCGCTGACGAGGGTATCTGCTACCTGCCACACTGGGTGAGTGGGGCCGTCCTGGTCTCTGGAGAGTCTGTGAATCTGTCTTGGGGCTGGAACCTCAGGCAGGGGCCACCCCCACATCCCCCAAGCATATGCAAGTGGCTTTCCCTCAGAACGAGTGAGGGAGGGCATTCCGAATAGCCCTTTCTTTGATAGTTACTCAGCTGGTAGACTAGACACCATATCCATGCCACTTACCTGCGATCTTCTGGGTAAGGCTTTAAAAGATAATGAAGCAGGAGCATTTTTTAAATGGTCTAAGTACAGAATTTTAGACTTTTATACATTTTCTCCTCATTTTTAGTAGTTTCTCCCCCAGTTCTGTTGCCAGGAGTGTGTGTTTACTGTTTTGCTTATAACTGAACCTTTTTAAAAGTACACACTTTGTTGCCATAGAAACAACCCCTCTCTAGAGCACTTGTCCTGGAGTGTGGGGCAGGGCCAGCCTCTCCCCACAGGAGGCCTCCACTCCATCACACCTGCTGCCTGGCCTCTGTTGTGATGTTTCCCAGTCTCAATCCCACTGGGATCTCTTACATCTCAGAGCCCAGACCGAACTTGCTTTCTTGCTTATTTGCCCTCCCCAGCACTTGCCTCTCGGTGCATCGTTCTCTTGTGTGTCTGGAGGTCCCCCTCCTGGGTTGGAGGCCTTCAGTTCATCCAGTAGAGCACTGTGAGTGGCCGAAGTATTGGGCAGTGACAACTTCTTAGGCCACTCTGGATCTGCAGAGACCCCTGCGTGGCCCCTCTTTAGAGGTGAGAGAGGAAGGGTGATACTGGGGTACTCTGGACCTCAAAGGTTATCTCTCCAACCCATAGACTTGATAGCCCTTTGTCTAGGTTCTTAGACCATTTTGGACCAGGAAACTAACTGAATCCTTTTTGTTGAGAAACATCACATCCCTTGGGTGCTTGTTTTTATGTAGCAGCAAGCTGCTGGCTCACCTCTTTCTGAGCTGGCCTTCCAGCTCTCAGCAAGAGTAGGTGATTGCCTGGGATTTCTCAGCTGCTGCCACTGAGTCAACACCCGTGAATAAGCAGCATTCTATTGGCTGATTGGCAGGCTCCTCTCCACGTTAGGCTCCTGGGCTTCCTCAGGGTGTCAGTCCAGAATAGGTTCCCAAGGAAGAAGCCACCTGTATGTCAGGCTTCAGCCTACCCAGTGTATGGATCGGTGATAGTCCTGCTGGCCATTTGATTTCCAGGAGACTCATGTATCCTTCTTTTTCCTCTAGATGATGCAGAATTTGCTGTTGGAAGAAGGGGGCCTGGTTCAGGTGGAAAGTGTCAACCTTCAAGTGGCCACTTACTCCAAGTTTCAGCCCCAGAGTCCTGACTTCCTAGACATCACCAACCCTAAAGCAGTGTATCCTTTTGAGATGAGAAGGGTTGTGAACAAAAGAGGGGTATACTGGCAGTCAGTAAAAAACAGGGCTTTTTTGAATGTGTGCCTACTTTGGGGAGCACATATTTACTGTGATTGGAGAATAATGACATTCAGCCACACATTTGCCACAACTCGTGGACCTGGGCCTGATAAGTGCGCTAGATGCTCTGTGGGCCTCTTCTGTATTCTCTCTGTGTATTTTCTCATGGGCAAACCGGAACCTTTCCTTCAGGTGGACAGGGACACCTAGCACAAAGCCCAGTATGTCCCGATAGAAGGGGGCCAACTGGTCTGCCTCTCAGCCCCCAACCCCTGTGAGTCACTGGTGTCGATATGAACTTGCCACTCAGCCTCCCCTTTTACCCAGGCTTAGGCTTTTCATTCGAAACCAGTGGGGAGCAGTGATTTAGTAAGTTTCCTTACAGCAACAGGAGAGCAAATGTTTTAGGTTCTAGTGATTGGGTTTTTGGTAGGTTCTCCTCTAAACATAAGCCATATGTGTGTGTTTATAATTTAATGAGTGACCACTGTGGGTAAGGGACGAGCTGTGTGTGGACTACAATAACTTAGAACCCCCAGTTTGGCTTGTTGAGATTATGTTATAGCGTAGCCACTCTATCACCTATTTGTTTTTAAAAATGCACGTTGAAAAAAAACACAGATAAGTCGATAGTAAAAGAAAAGCTGCCTCCACCTGCCCCCACTTGCACCCCGCCCCCTCTCCCCAGGCAGGAGCTCAGGAGCAGCCTGCTTCCAGCCATGTGTGAGATATGGGTGGGTCATGTCAAGCCATCCACTGAATGTGTCTGTGGAGTGGCGTGTTGACCCCCTGCAGCCAGATCCTAGACATGCAAGGGTGCTGGGCTCTGCTCACGGCAGTCAGTGGTAGGGGCTTCCCATCCTACAGGCAGGACAGTGTCCTGTGGCTAAGTCTCATTACCTTGTCCTTCAGAGCTTTGCTTGGAGGTGGTTGTCTAGCTGTCAGCATCAAGGAGCAGGGCCTTCCTCCGTGATCATAGCCCCTCATGATTTTCTCTGAATTTTTACATGAGTTTCGTTCTTACTAGATTGCCTTCAAAAGCAATTTCTCTTGTAGTTAACTTGTTAGTCTACAGAGGAAGGGCATTACTTTCATCATCAGAGTCAACCCAGTGCTCCCTGGTCTAGCTGACAGCCTGGATAAATGCAGTCAGCATAGAACAGAGAATGTGGAAGGTGCACAGAGCAGTGATATGGGGGCTGTTTTCAACCTCAGAGACTTAGTGGATTGGATTTGACAGCTCAGGGGTCATCAGGAGGAGTCGAGGACAGGGCAGTCCTGCAGTGTGCATTTCAAATAAGGAATGAAGGCAACAGTCCACACAAGGCCCTTTTTACAAGGTTGCTGTCTCCATGGAAGGCTGCGTGACCAAGAGAAGTGAACCTAGACAGCTTGGCCTCTCCCTCAGACTCTTAAGATCTTCTCTGGGATGTGCCATGTCACAGTGGCAGATTCTGGAGCCACGGTTTATGTTTATGCCTTGACAGTGTGTCTGCAGATTAGAAAACGCATTGAGAAACTTTGCCTGTCTGACCACTGGGGATGTGATTGCCATCAACTACAATGAGAAGGTGAGTGTGTCAGCCATGTGGCCGGCAGAGCCTGGAGAGAGAGAAGCATCCATCTGTGGTACCTGGTTTTTGTCAACTAATTGCTGCCTGTTGTTTGCTTTTTAGAGACCTTTACTAATCATTCAGCAACTGTGTTTTAATGATTGATTGATTACATTTATAGGTGAATGAGCTGAACACTGTCATACTCATTAATCAGTCTCTGTATCATGGTGGCAAGCCTGCCAATTGTGCCCCAGTTAGAAGGTTCTACATTGCTCCTAAAATCTGAGATGAGCTTTGCAAGGCTGTTACGACACAGAAATGATCCAATCTGAGGCCTTGTCCTTGTGATTTCCTCCCCTGGACGTATGTAGGCCCTCCCGGAGCTTTCCATGCAGTGCGCCTCTGGTGCTGTGGGCCACCTGGAAGCAGGATCACTGAGTGATGGTGCCACCTGAAGTCGCCTCTCCTCATGGGATCCCACGTCCTTTTCCTTTTTTCTCTTGGGTTCTTTGGGCTTGTCCATCTTGACACAAGTTTTTCAGGTCTGAACAACACTTTTGTTCATCCATGATTCCATTCTTGTTAGGTGTCTGCATCTAGACAATTTAGCTGGAAAGTGAAATACTGTTTCATCCTCCATTTCTCATTCATTTCATTCATAGTGACAGATGATTTCCCACAAATTTAAGACAGTGAGCATCCACTTACTCATTTTCTGTGGCAGCTTGTCTGAGGGAGGGTGTAATAGTTGTTAGTCCTACTGATAGGCCATCCTAACAGGCATGGAGCAGTGATATGGGTATCCCTTGTCCACTGTGCCAGTGACCATGATTGACCCTCACAGAGTTGCTGTCAGGTTGGACTGCCTAGTGCTCAGGAGTGACAATGGCCCTGGCATGCCTTTTCTCTGAGGCCAGTTCTTAGCTCCTTCACACACTCTTAGCCCCATCCCCTTGGGGCTGGGGCCCTCATGGCCATGAATCAGGGGCCTGTGGTTCAGCCAGTCCCTTCCTCCAGGATGGAGAAGACAGTCACTCCCCTGGTGTCAGAGCAAGGATCCGGTGTGTTCTCCAGCGGCTCCTTCTCTTTGCAGCACCTGATACTGAGAATCTTCACTTTCAAGTTTTGGGGTTGGAATCACACTTTTCTCTAAAACTAAGAAGTGATCCTGTTGCCTTTAGCTTTGTGGGGAACAGTTTAGATCTTGTCTACTTGAACTGATTTTATAAGCTTTCATAGTTAATTACAGGTAGTCTTAATGTTATTGTTCTTAATATTGAGGTAGTAATGCTAAATATAACTAAATTGATTATATTTTTGGACTGAACGGGAAAAATAAATTACATGCTACATGGAAGCATGGAGACTGGATACTCTAAAGGGCCCTTTGGTGGAACCCAGTTAAATCAGGATAAAACCTAGGTTGTTAATGTATTGGTGGGCTCACGAGAAACACAGGAAGTTTTCAAGAATCTCTGGGCAATTATGGAGAAGCTTTTAAGAACAGACGTGGCACATTGAGCCTTCTCACTTCACTTTGGTGGCTTCCCCCCAGTGTTTACGTTTTTTAAATGATGGGAGTATCTGGACTGTTCATTACAAAAACAAGGCATACTCTGGGTCAAAAGAAATAACTTAAAGTGGTGTTGAAAAAAACAGATTTAGGTACTTTTAGTTCCTGTCCTCTGGATGTTTTTAATGTATGTTTTTACAAACATGATATTATCCTAGACACATAGCACCATAACTGGTTTTTTAATTTATTTTCTTTTGGCTGCATTGTATTCCGCTGGTGACTATAACTTATATATATATGACTAAATTTTGGCCATATATTATTACTCTTAGCAGTGTTGGAGTGAGCACCCTTAGAATTTTCTCTCTGTGTATTAAGCTAATTATTTACTTAGAATAAATTCCTGCCCTGGCTAGGTGGCTCAGTTGGGTGGAGCGTTGTGCCACACACCAAAATGTTGTGGAATAAGGGCATAAACCAAGGTTGCGGGTTCACTGGCTGCTTGGAGCACGTATGGGAGACAACCCATTGATATTTCTCTTCTCTCTCTCCCCCCCCCTTTCTAAAATTTAAGTAAAACATATTCTTGGGTGAGGATTAAGGAAAAATAAATAAATTCCTAGGAGTGTACTGAATTTTTCAGACTGTAAGACGCACCTAGGTTTTAGAGGAGGAAAATAGGAAGAAAAATGTGGTAAAATATTTAATAACATAGGCCATCACCCCCTCGCCCCATAGTGAGCCAGGTAAGCTACATTTGGACTATAAGACGCACCCCCTTTTCCTCCCAAATGGCGGGGGGTGCGTCTTATAGTCTGAAAAAATATGGTTCTTTCTGGGATAAAGGTTATAAATGTCTTTTGCAATTTGATTCATAATTCCCTTGCCTGATTTGAACCACTTTTGGGAAATAACTTCTGTTGAGTGATGGGCAGGCACGAAGGGAGTCCACCCCCATAGGCTCATTGTCACAGCAGGAGGTGTGGCTGAGGAGGGTGTTGTGGAGGTGAACAATGCATCTGTCTGCAAGCACCGGGTAGGGAGCCACAGTGATGTGAATGCTGCACAGCTCCCAGGGCAGCCGTGAAACCGTCCATCTGATTTCTGTGTTCTTCCCACAGATCTATGAACTACGGGTGATGGAGACCAAGCCTGACAAGGCCGTGTCCATCATCGAGTGTGACATGAATGTGAGTGGTTTTGCTGCTTATAGTGCATTCAGGCCTGGGGGAAATGAGTATTTGGTAGGCCCTGCAGGCCAATGCCCCAGAGGGGTATCACTGTCACATCGCCCCAGGGACTGTTTGGGTAAGCGAGGAGGAAAATGCTGCCAGAACATCATGAGGAGGCTGCTGACCTTGTGATCCTTCTCAGGGCCAGTGGAGGTGGCAGAGTTGCCTCTAGTTCTGAGATGGCTAAATCCACTGGCATCTCAGACCTGCCAAGGAATGGATCTTCTTAAAAGCTAAGGAAGCTCTCAATTGAAAAACAACAACAAAAACAACTAAGAAAGGCTACTCAGCTCCTGAGGAGGAAGGAACTGTTGACACACAACAGCCTACTGGCTTTCCAGAGAATGATGCTGAGGGGAAGAAAGCCAATCCCCAATGGTTCACCCTGACTCCATTTTTATAACATTTTGAAATGACAACACTTCAGAAAGGGAGGACAGCGTAGTGGTTGCAAGGGGCTTTGGGTGCTGGAGAGGGCCACCAGCAAAGGTTTGGGTGTAGATATAGAAGTATAACTTGAAGGGGTTATCCTGTTCAGTATCTTGACTGTGGGCAAGAATGCACGGAACTACACTGGTGATAAATTATGAGCACTTGCAAAAGGAGTTCTTGTAAAACAGGAATTCCGAATAGTGTAGATGTCAATATCCTGGTGGTGATACTATGCTATAATTTTATAAAAATGTCACCATTGGGAAAACTGGGAAAAGTATACAGGGCATCTTTCTGTGTTATTTCTTACAACTGCACCTAAATCTGTCGTCGCAGTTACAAACAGACCAGCTAGGGAAGTCTGAGCACCCCCATGTCTCACAATTTTACTTTCATCTTGGGAACGCAGGTGGATTTTGATGCTCCACTGGGCTACAAAGAACCCGAAAGACAAGTCCAGCATGAGGAATCAACTGTAAGTTGTTTCTCTCCCCACCTTCCCTGCTCAGCCTGGCAGGTTTGGTGTCCTCTTTAGTAATCGGGCTTGGGAATGTGCCCTGGTCTGTCTGTCGTGACTGCTAGCCCGTGTCTGGCCTCTACTGGTGCCATTGCAGCCACATTCCCTGTTTTTCTTCCAGCTCTGCTCCCAGGATATGTCCCAGCTGTTTGGGTGCAGAGACAGCAATACAAATGAGGGGCCCTAGGGAAAAGTTGGGCTGTCCCTGCCGGGAAGCTTATCTCCTATTTTTCTGTCCTTGGCAGGAAGGAGAAGCTGACCATAGCGGCTATGCCGGAGAGCTGGGCTTCCGAGTAAGTACCAGCACATGTGTTTTACTTCCTGTGCTACTGCTGTGCCATTTGCTCCTCCCAGGCACTCTGTAACGCCCCAGGGACCTCAGCAGGGATTGGGCCTCTGGGTGTCTGTACACACATGTATCTGCCACTTGGTCAGTTACATGGCACTTGACATCCGCTTTCTTATGGAATCCTAACAAATCTGTAAGGCAACCACAACTTTTTTGAACATTCTAACCTACCCAAAGGTTAAAATAGTATAGTGGACACACATACCCCCTTCACTTAGATTCACCATTGTGACTGCGTTTGCTTTATCTCTAAGAACATGTCCTCTTTTCGCCTGCACTGTTTAAAGGTAAATTGTAACATGACCTCTCAGCGCTGCCACCAGCCAGTCTCCCTGGGGAAAAAGTGGGGATGGCCAGTGTGAGGGCACGGGCGCACTGGGAGGCAGTGGAGGAGGCAGGATTGGAAAGCTGAGCTGCAGGGCAGTTGCAACAAAGGCCGTAGTCCACCTCGGGGCCCCAAACTGGGTGGCCCTGCAAAGGGCAGAGTCAGACCTTTCCGCTTGTCACTGGCTACTGGCTGCCTCTGGGGGATGGCTGCTCTTGGGCCAGGAGGCTCCCTTCAGCTCACAGCAGTTGAGGGGCTGCTCACAGCCTAGAGCGCTCAGCTGCCCATGCTGAGGTACTAGGTGACATCCCCCTGCAGTGGTCTCAGCAAAGAGCATGCATGTGCTCACTCTTGGGGCTCAGTGTACCCACACTCTCCTGCTTGCCTGTCTAGGCCTTCTCCGGCTCCGGGAATAGACTGGATGGGAAGAAAAAAGGTGTAGAGCCCAGCCCCTCCCCAATCAAGCCTGGAGACATTAAAAGGTGGGTCTGCCCTGTCTCTGCTCCAGCCTAATGCTTTATCACCATCTAGGGAGGGTCTGTGCCAGACCTCTGGGGTGGGCAGGAGCACTCCAGCTCTAGAGAGAAAGTCTGAATCAAAGAGACTGACTGGGTAGATGAATCCCTTCCACCCCCCCACCCCCCCACCCCCACCCCCCCCCACCCCCCCCCCCGCATTCCTCACCCTAACCTGCTCTCCTTGGGGGACTAGTAATCTATTTTTCTGTTTTGTGACTTCATCAAGTCACAGTACCTTAACTTCCCTCAAGCAGGAGGCAGGAGCTGCCTCTGTGAGATGTGCTTGAGTATTGTTTGATCCAGGGACTCAGAGCCGATTCCCTGCCTGGTGGCTGTCATGATGGTGGCAGGGATGAAATATACCCCCTGTCTACTATGTGTTAGAACAGAAGAAAAATGCTAGAAATTGGTTTTTTACCCACTGTCTGAAGGAGTGAAATGAGCTTAGTGCAAGTGTACCCCTTCCAGGGTGATCCATGAGGCTAGAGGACAGATTTGATGAGGGCCTTCCAATCCTCCAGGTGGCCCCTTGCTGCAGGCCAGGCCCCTGACCCAGTTGCCTGCTGGTTCTCTCCTGGAGGGCTGGCCCAAGGCCAGGGTGCAGTACAGCCACATACCCCAGAATGAGAATCGCCAGGAGGATACTCGTCATCTCTTTGGCTTGCCTTCCTCTTTGATTGTCAAAAGCGAACTTGAGTCCTTTTCTCCTGGAACTGACATTTCTCATCTTCTGTCTTCTTAACAGAGGAATTCCCAATTATGAATTTAAACTTGGTAAAATCACTTTCATCAGAAATTCACGTCCACTAATCAAAAAGGTCGAAGAGGTGAGTATACTTCACGGGTAATGAGTTTTATTTTCTAGCAATGACTAACAATACAAACACATAAAAGATATCTGCTGTTTTTGAGGGTTCAGAAAAAATCCGCCGCCTTTTTGCTGGTTGGAGAAGAACTTGCTGAGGAGTCTAATAACAGCTGTGTACAAACACATTAAGCTACTTACTACATCTGTTTAAAATACTGCACACCTGGGAATAACATCCAATGGTAGAGGACTGCCTCTCTCAAGTGATGAAATTCTCTGTAGGTTTTAGAATGCACTGGATTAGAAATTCACTGACTTAAAGCTTGGGGATTAAGTATGAAAATAATATATGAAAGCATGTGCAGAAAAGTGACTAGAAATGTTATTTTGGGGTGCTAAAGTTATAGGTGATTTTTCTTTTGGAGGTGTATTTTTTACATCAAAAATGTGGTACTTCTTCAAAAGGATATACATTCAACCTGAGAATAAAGGCTATGGTAGACACAGTTGTGATTGTGTGGTTCTGTTTTCAATTTAATTGATTTTGATTTGTATTTATATTTCAAAGACATTTCTTATGAATAATGTAGAAGTAAGGAAAATGGGTGGATGGAACAATACATGAGTAACAGAAGAAAGCATTTTCTATAAACTTCCAAGAAGTTTCTGAAAATAGTATTTTATCTTCACACAGGATGAAGCTGGAGGCAGATTCGTCGCTTTCTCTGGAGAAGGGCAGTCATTGCGTAAAAAGGGAAGAAAGCCATAAGTTGGGACTGTTAGCTGATTGGAAAATAAAATAACCAATTGCAGCATAATGGCTTTTAGTTACTGGCTCTCACAGGGATGAGACTTATTGCAGAGAATGCTCTGTCACTTTAGCTTTGTTTAGAGTTACCTAAGAATTGTCGAGTTTAACCTGGAAGTGGAACAGCAGGACTTTGTGTACTTGAATTGGGGGAAGAGAAGCTGTGTGTGAGGTCCCAAAGGCGGCCTCCTTGCCACTCCTTGCTTTCAGCCCCTGGGAGCACTCCCACTGCCTCAGCAGAAGTAGAGTCCCCCGTTCCTGATAAAAATCAATGGAGGGGGTTGAATTGCTCTAACTTGTGGTGTTCTTTCTCTTTTTCATCCTTCCTTTTTTGTTGGTCTGTAGCTTAAACATTGCTGTTGGCCCAGAGAAAAGTGGTTTAAATAGATGTGTGCTCTATAAATAGTGGTTATTCCGTTACTCTGGCTGCAATCTAAGTATTTATTTTATATATTGTTTTTTCCCAGAAGAACCATTCCTCAGAAGGAAAAACTGATCTGAAAGCATTTCTACTTTTAGAGTGCATTTGGAAATAACTAGCTCCTTAATAAATATGTTCTATGGCAGAGGAAGCCTTCATGGTGAAGGACAAATGTGAATATTAGAATAAATAAAAGCTAAAGATAACAGTCCTCTTTTTCCTTCCCTATCCCCCACTCCCAGTTTAAAGTACTAAGTTATCCAAGGTTCTGCTGGCCTGTCTTTATTTTGTATTGGTCTCAGATCCTCACTTTCTATAAAGTGAGACCTTTTGACGTTAATCCAGTTACATTAATCTTTTCTGTCCCTTGAAAATAATTTTAAATCAAGAATTTCAAATAAAAACAGGGAATGACTAAAACCAGGATTGCCTCTAAATGTTTGATGAAGTGCCAACATGAACTGATGGTGGGGCCACTGACCAGGAGTTGGAGGAAGGCCTGCTTGCAGGTGCCCCTCATTCCATCTTGCTGTTGGGAAAGAGCTGTTCTGGGGGGCTTCTCCTGGACAATGTAAGGAGGAATGAGGCTCTCTGCCCCTGGGGTGGGGATGGTCAGGCCCAGCAGAGTCTCCACCTTGTACCAGGTCTCCTCCTGCTTATAGACAGAGGGTCCTCTGCACAGGGCTCCCCCCAGCACTCAGAAGAGAGGATGCACTACTCTAGGACACGAACCCCAGGGCCCACCCATGTAACCTCAGTGAATAAGCATCGAAGATTGTTGTGATGACCAGGACTAACTAAGCCCTGTAACCCAAAATGACGCAACCGGTGATGAATGTGGAATGCTGCTGTGACCTACCTGACCCTTTACTTAAGGGGTCTCAGCTTCATCGACAGACATGGAAGTCCATGCTGGGGAGGCAGCCTCTACTGTCAGTGTGCCAGTGTCTCATTGCCTGACACATTATCCTTTATGCACAATAAAGAAGCTGGCCTTGGGTTTTAGTCTGAACTAAGCATCGTCTGTATATGCAATGAAATCACTACTGTTCTTTTGCTGGAGATGCACTCTCCTGCCTGGGACAGGGGTGGACCCCAGTTGATGGATCTGGTGACACAGTGGGGTCACCTGGAGCAAAAGTCCTGGTCATTACTGCTGTACTCTGGCCTGCAGCCTTATTGTCACACAGTGTCTTCTCCAACCTTGGTCTGTGAGCCAACATGGCAGGTGTCCTGATAAAATTGCAACTTCCTGGGCCACTTGCAGGGCATCTGACCCAGTCTCAGTCCTAGAGGGGGACCAGCAATGGCCCAGCACATGATTAGGTTTGCAGAAGTCAGAACCATTGCATTGCTATTGCAGGGCCTCCTGTCTTGGTAAAGCTTTTGCTGCTAACCATACACACCACCTCTGGACTTGGATCTCATGCTCCGCACAGCCTCCATTCCTTTGCTCAGAAAGCCCTTCTTGCCAACACTTCCATCCTGGGTTCCCTCGAGAGGTCATCCCACACCCTAGATACTCAGCCCTCAACACATGTCATCCCCAGCCAACCCCGATTATTTTGTGAGTTCATCTCTGTCCTTGGGCGGACACTACAGCAGTAGACTTGGCAGGTTCACGACAAATACTGCACAGTGTGTGATTACGACAATAAATCCAATCTTTGAGATTTATGAAAATAACAGCCACTAAAAAGGACTGGCCCGTGTGGTTTCAGAAACAGCCAGCAACGTGGCTGTGCAGCCGGGACACCTGCCCAGCAGCGGGTGGACGTCCTTTGTTGGCACCGTGTCTGCACTGGCTCCTGGCCGAGTTTTCTCACTCCACTGGTATGCCCCATCCACCGGGGCTCCGCCCCTCCTCGCGTGCACCACCATCCCCAGCTGTTATTGGCTGCCCCACCCAAATGTCCTGTTTGTTGGCGAGTGTCGAAGAGGTGGCGAGGATTTTAATCGTCATATCTGAGTTCCTCGCTTTCTCACGTGGTGCAGGCCTAATCAATTTTCATTGGCTAGCGGGCTGAGGAGGCGAGGGTTCGGTACTCCCCTTGACATGGCTGAGGGTGCCGGCTGGCAGGTAAGTGTGGTGGGCGCCAGGGACCTGCAGGGACCTCGTTGGACCGTGTGACCCGGCTTAACTGAGTTCTCTCCCGGGATGGGTTCAGGGTGGGCGGCACAGCGGCTTCCGCCTTAGGTGCACCTCTCACTGCAGCCGCCGCGCCCCTGTGAAGCCTATCGTGCCGAGTGGAAGCTCTGCCGCAGCGCTGGGCACTTCCTGCACCACTACTACGTCCACGGCGAGCGGCCGGCCTGCGAGCAATGGCGACGCGACCTGGACAGCTGCCGCGAATGGGAGGAGCGCCGGAGCGCCAAGGCCCAGGTGCGCCCAGGATGCTGGGGGTGGCGCTGAGCCACCTGGGCGGATCGTAGGGACGCCCTAGTGCACGGGCCATCCCGCCACGTCCCAGGTCCCGGGACTCTGGAAAAGAGCACTGTCGGGGACCTCCCTCTTTTTGTGTTTTCTTACTTTCGAGAAATAGCAAAAATTATCAACTGGGTTTTCAGACACTGAAGGAAAAGAGAGGAGGGTCCCCTAACAGTGATAGGGTTGTCTGCTTACCTGCAAAGGTGTTGATATTGCTGAGTCCTGAAAGACCAGCAACCAGCCTTAGCAGCCCTCTTACAGCCTCAGGGGATCAAGCTGAGGAACAAGGTCCAGGTGCGTGAAGCAGAAGGAGGGTGGGCTGTAGAAGGGTAGGGCATGAGGCTGGGGAGGTACCAGACACCTGGTGGGCGTTCAGGGGTGTCTAACCTGCGGCCTGCCGGCCTCATGAGGCTCAGGATGGCAATGAATGCAGCTCAACACAAAATCGTAAACTGAATTACAACATGACAAGAATTTTTTTTGTGACTACATGTTGAAATATATTTAATGTGTGGCCCAAGACAACTTTTCTTCTTCTAGTGTGGCCCAGAGACACCAAAAGGTTGGACACCCTTAGATTCTAGCCTAAATGTGTGCTGGGAAGCATGATTTGATTTGTACTTTTAAAATATCAGTCTGGCTGCCAGTGCGGGAGAGTACATGATGGAGGGCACAGAGACCAGTAAGGAGGTGGTTTTAGTTGTCCGTGCATTCAGCAGATATTTGATCCTGTTGGGCACTCTTAGGGATACAGAAGTGATGAGAACAGAGCACCTGCCCTTCTAGCACCTACATTCTAGTCTAGCGTACAATAGTTTCTCGGAGCTGTTGTGGGCAGGGAGATGGAGAAAAGCTGTGAGGGTGCATGGGGAGGTGCCTGGGGAAGGGGAGCCTGAAGGACTGGTGGCTGCTTCAATGTTGTTAAGTGTATCTTATTATTGAAACACACAAACTGATGTGGAAACCAAGCTACTGTGTAAAAGAAAATGTGACAAGTCCATAGTAAGTAGAAGTCCAAAAAAATGGAAAAGATAACTTGCAGCCTGTATGGCAAGAGATTTAGGAACCTTTATATATGTAGGAGCTCTTACGTATCAGTAAGAAAAATGGAGGTGATTTTAGAATAGAAAAGTAGGCAGAGGACACAAAGAAAGCATTCATTCAAAAAGAAAGCCCCCATGACCTGGCATAGCAGTTGAAATGAGAGGGGGTGGTTTCTACCCAGCCGATGTCAGAAGTGTCCATAGGAGTTTGGGGAGGCAGAAGTCCTTGTGCGGCATTGGTGGCATCCAGTGTTCCAATTGTCTAAAGTCAAATGCATACCTCTTGACCCGCTTTACTTCTAGAAGTTTATACTAGGGAAGTAATTGGGTAACAGCACAGGTAAAAGTTCAAAATGACCACTCTGTCACTGTTTGTGATAGTGAAAAAACTGAAAGTGTCCTAAAGTACACTGACAGACATTTGACCAAATAACTTCTTCCACACAGTGGAGTATTACATAGCCATTAAAGTATAGGTAGGAACATGTCCTGGTTAAAAACAATAGCTACTAACATATCCGAGCATAGTAAGATGCCTCGGCGAAAAAAGTAGAAAATATACACTGGCCAGTAGAAGATTATTGCTTCTTTAGGGAAACATGTAATGGCTCTAAAATTTAGGCCTAAAAGTGTGTGGGGGAAGCTGCTAACTTCACCTCGGGGGGTGGGGGGGTGGGGGGGGGTGAAGGTCTGGGAGTGTTTCATATTCTACTTTGGGTTTCTGATCACTTTTTAAACAGGAACAAAAACATCTATTTGAGACAATAGAGCTTAAGAAGAAAACTGTGAAATTAACATGTATAGAGGCCAGCATAGCTCCTGGCACCTAACCAGGGGGTCCTGTCACAGTTGTGACGTGTGTTTACTTTGGGGAGAGTGGCGTCTGTGGTCTGGATTCTTCATCGCCCATCCAGGGCTACCTGGACGTGTATCTTGCCTGGTCTTCCTCTGGGCTACTCTTTCAGACTCTTATCTTTTCTTCCAGCTCAGCTCCCAAGTAGCCTTAGCAGCTGAATCTTATCAGGTCAACCAAAGGCATCAAGCCCTGAGGCCTGGGAGAAGATATTTGTGAAGTTTCTTCAAGTGATGGTGATCTATCTACACAGTACCGTTGATCCTTGAACAACATGGGTTCAAACTGCACGGGTTCACTTATTATGGATTTTTTTAGTGGACTCACACTGTTCAAACCTGTGTTGTTCAGAGGTCAACTGTGTTGACCCACAATTGTGTCCACCCACAATTGGGAATCTGTGTATGCAGATGGCCAACTGAAGATATACACAGATTTTCAACTGTGTGGCAGGTTGGCACCCCTACCCCATGTTCAAGGGTCAGTTGTAGTTTCTCACAGTAGGGCAGGACAAAGTAGGATCTAGCTATGTGCATGCTAGTGTGGAACAATCGCCAGGGTGCATTAGATGGAAGCAGTTTTGGAGTGGTATGTATCAAACATTCTGTTTGTCTGTGTTTGGGAGGTGGCTGATGGGGAGGGAGGTACAAGGGCATGTGGGGTGTGAAGTGACCAGGGTCTCCCTTGTACAGCGGTCCCTCTGTGAGAGCGAGCGTAGGAGAGTCCAGGCTGCACAAAAGCACACCCTGGTGTGGACCCCGAGGCAGAGCCCCCCTGCAGAATGGCATCTCCCTCTGCCACAGGAGGAGGAAGACAAGTGACAAGCACCCCTGCACAGCTTCCTCTGGTCTGTTTCAAGTGGGGCTGTTGTATGTGACCCTAAGGACTCTGACTGACCCAAGCGTTCCAGTAGGTACCTGGGAACTTCTGCCTGGCTTGGAACACCGAGCACCACACCCCCAGGGCTGCTTGCCCAGCCCTCACCTGCGTTCTGGGTGCCCCCCTGCTGCCATTGCTCTGGAAGAAGTTTTGTCCACTGCACAGCTTCCAGGAAGCCAAGGACCATTGCAGATTGCTGAAAGCAGGCAGGGTGGGCTGTCTCATGCTCCTCCTGCTGACCTCCCAGCAGGACAGCAGCACAGCAGGTGGTCATCATGAGGTCTAAAATTCTCAGGTAAAGTCTTAAGTGGTAGCTGTGACCCCTGTGGACACATAGAGGGGTCAGGATGAGGAAGCTAAATGGTCGTGCTGCCAAGAACACCTCACCTGGCCCTGGTTTGGTGAGGACCACACATGGCCAGCCACTGTGCCCACACTTGGCTGTGGCCCGCTCGCTCAGGTCCTCTGCAGACACAGGTGGGGTGGACCTCTGGACCGGCATGCTGCACCCCCTAGGCTCACAGGAGGTGAGATTCTGGTTTTTAAGAACTGCACACAGCTAAGGACACACCACCTTGCATAAAAAGCGTTCATGGATTCTTGGCTGAAGAAACCCAAACCTGGAATTTTGGTCCACTTAACATTTCCCCTGGTCATTTTTAGAAAATGTGGAGTATGTCAAAGGCCATTTTACACATTAGATTTCAAAGAGAAGCTGAACTTTTAAATCAACAGTTTAGTTGTTGGGACTATTAAATTTCACATCTGATGTTATACTCAGTGTTACAATGAAGTCATTAAGGTCGGCCGTGACAATCCAGCATGGCTGGAGAGGGATGACCATGTGAGGACAAAGCACAAAGGTAGCCATCTAGAGGCAAGAGGCCTTCAGAGAAACCAACCCTGCTGGTGCCTCAGCCGTGGGAGTTGTAGCTTCCAGAACTGTGAGGAATGTCTTTTTCAGCCATGCAGGCTGGCACTTTGTCCTGGCAACCCCAGCACCCTAATACAGCCACCATTCCAGACTGACAGTACCCGAGTAAGAGTCCTCAGCCCCAGGGGTCCCACCCTCCTGCAGGACACAGCAGCTTTGTTCACTAGTGTGTCCCTGGCCTGCTCCACCCTCTTCAGCCTCCCTCCCCAGCTTAAAATGCGAAGCTGGCCCTGCTGCTGATGATGTGAGGAACTTCATGTGTCCTGTCTGCCCCACCCGTGAAGGCCCTGCCTCTCCTCTGCCCACCCATGCAGACAGCACAGCACACACAGCCTGCACATCCTTCACCTCTGTCTCTTGGGATCATTTTATGCCTCCTGCTGGGGGCATCCACCCCACAGAACTGGAATCTTCCTTTTTATTGGGGGACAGTGGTCAAGGTTTGGTCATCCTCTCCCCAGTACCTGGAGAGGAGGGACAGTACCTCTCACCCCTATCCATCCTCAGATGAATTAGTTTTGACCCTAACATAAGACAAAGAGACACTTGGTTACACTTACATTTATTCTCAGCATGCCTCATACTGTGACAAGTGGACTTGAGCCCTGGTCATTCTGGCTCTGAAGGGCACAGTGTTCAGATGGCTGCCTCCAGCTCTACCTCTTGAATTCCACTTGTGTATATACCTTGGTGATGTCGTGGTACCTGCCTTCAGGGGGCTGGTAGTTGGAGATTGGTGGTGTGTAAGTTGGCCCTTCTCTCTCAAAGGGGAACAGACTAGGGTCCCGCTTGATGGCCTCCCCATGCAGCTCCTGGGACATGAGTTTCAGCTCTTGCAGAGCTTCCTGCTGGGCCTCAAGCATGGACTTGATGGCTTCCCTCTCCATCTCATGCTCTTGCTGCTTGTACAGGGACCATTTCTTCAGAAGCAGAGCTCTCCGCTCAGCCTCCTCAAAGGAGAGCTCTACCTGAGGCCGCTGTCTGGGAACACACAAATCCAAAGGTGTGAGCTGGGCAGCACTGACCAGGGAGTTTGGGTGACTGCTTATGGCCCATGCATCCTCCCTGCCAGACACAGATGGAACTTACGAAAGGAAGTGAAAGTTTGGGACAAATTAAGAAATAGAATGTTCAATGTGGTGGCAGCTGCAACTGATGCTACAAGCCAGTGCCATTTGCTTTACTTGCAGATAAGAGTCACTGATTCTCAGAGGAGACTAGGATAGCTCTTCTTCTTTCCCAGGCAGAGACTACTTTTGGTGAGAGGTGACTTTGGAGAAAAATGAAATTGTATAATGAAAACGGACACCAAAATCCCAGGGAGTCAAGAGCCTATTATTAGCCCCAGAGTACCAAATGACACCTGCAGTGTCCCACTTGTGTGGCAAGGTGCTGCTACTTTACAGATAGCACACACTTTTATAAGGCAGTAATCCTGCGCACACACAACCCAAATGTGAGCATGTGCATCACGAAGCAAAAGGCTAAGGGCGTTATGCCACCAGGATGGGCAGCGCCTGCAGACCCAAGGCCCAAGTCGTCAGCCACAGCTACAACCTCTGACAGAAGAGCAACTATGAACTTTTGAGCAGTGCTGATAAGAACTTCACTCAAGTTTCTGGTCTGGCTTATCAAACAATTATTCTGAGTTTCTTTCCCACATTCAGCCATTCAAGAGCACCACCCAGGAATGTTTTCCAACTCCTGCGAGACATAATCAAGGAGAAAAGGACTCAGCCCAGGGCCAAGTCAGCCCAAGCCCACTAACCCCTTCCCATCACTGGCATGAACTGCAGTTACAATCACCTTTAGGCGATGAACTCCTTTGCCCTCAGGACTTCAACCCTAGAGGACCCTTACCTCACTTTATCCAAGAACCTCACAGGCGTAATAAAATCTTCAATGGGAATTAGCTCCTGGCTAGCCTTTTCTAGTCGTCGGATCCTCTTTTTCAAACGGTCTCTCACAGCTTGGTCTTTTTTAGGATCTACCTTCTTCTTCTTCCGCAGAGGTTCTGCTCTAATGGATAAAGAAAACATTAAAATTTTTCCTCTTCAGTTTCACAAACATCCTGGGAGACATGGCACTACATAAAGTACCCCAAGCTTCTGAGCTCTCCACTGGGGAGTGGACTGTGTGTACATGACCCTGACCTCGTAAAATGAGTGTGGCAGGGAGATGGCCTCCATCCCAGGGTCCTTGTGAGAACTGTGTGGGCACTGTCAACCCAGGAAGGGGTGGAAAAGCTTCAGGGGGGTATCAGGGTGTAAATTAAAGGGAAGTGCTCATCTTTAGCCCTGGAGTACAGGTGTGCCTTGGATTTGCATTGAAAAGAGAAAATACCAAACTGATTAATTAGAAGCTAATTACTCACATCTTAAATGGATTGTGATTTATAAGAATGATTTCAGTAAGAGTAAAACAGCATAAAAATGACTAGCATGTCCCTACTTCAGGGGATTTCTTAATTAATGTTCCCATCCTAGAGTATTCACAAAAGTCTGATTTACAGTCAGCAATGAATCTCCCATGGTGGTAATTCACTATTAGGAATAATCAAGACCAGATTTCTTGAATCAAGTCTCTCGAAAGCATCCAGAGTTCCAGGTGGAAAAACTCGTCCTCACACCTCCCCTCACTTCTCCAGGGAGTCAGAAATAGAAGGTCCGTGGAGAAACAGAAGTTTATGCTTTGCCCTTTAAAAGACACAAGAATCCATTCAAAGCTAATTCAACTTTTGTTTAAACTACTTTTACATTTTTTTGTTTTCTGATTATAGACACAGCATACAGAGAATGTTGAAAAGACATGAAAACATCTAGCTACATTTAACTGAGAAATTTTGTAGGCTATTAATTTTGTAAACCAAAAACTAGTCTTGCTCTGTTTTATTCAAGTGCATATCTATCTTCTCTGACACCCCCAAAGAGGTCAGACCCCTAGTTAAATTTACCTCATGGGAATGAGTTCCCAGAAGGACAACAATGAGGCTCTCTGGTGGGTGTCTCTAATCTGTGTCTGCCAAGTTCCCAGTCGCCTGAAAGAGATAAGAGTGTGTATAAATATCTGATTTTCTCCCAATAAACAAACCCAACCACCCCTTTCTTTTTAACAGTGCTCTCAAAACCTAAGGCACTTGAAACTGCTAGATGTGACAGCAAAGTCAATGTGGGATATTTTTCAAAATCCCCAGTTCACACCAAAAAGCAGTTGAAGGGTCCCTGCCAGCCAGTATCTTAGAATTCTCATCCACAGGAAGAGGCGGGATCAGCCACCTTCCTAGATATCCGTGGACAAGGGCAACCGGGGAGGAAGCGCAGGCGAGGCCTGTGCTACCTGGTGCAGAGTCCCCCGCGTGCGCCCCGGACACCCCTCGTCGGGTCTGAGGTCCGCACTCACCAGCACCGCGAGCACAGAGCGCGCGCGGTAGCTCCCAGCACCTGAGCAGCCATAGCTTCTAAGGCAGCCAACCGGCTGCTTCACTGCGCGCACCTCGGCCGTGGGTCCCGCTGTGCTTCGCGATACGGTCCGACCGTGCCGTCGATCCACACTCCCTAGTTCCACCCTGGGGCGCGATCCGCGCGTGCCGAATCACTCTTGGCGGGCCCGGACGTAGTAGCGGCGCACGGGCACGCCCCGAACGGTGGGTTGGATCACGCCTGGCCCTGCCCTGCCCTGAGCTCCTTGCCCCAGGCGCCAGAGTGTGTCCTCTTTTCTCTGTCCGAACGTCACTCCTCTACCTCGTCAGGGTGCATCCCTACGAGGGCCAAGACTCCGCAGTGTTGCCGAAATGGCCGTGGGGATATCCCTCCACTCCAAGTCTAAGTGTCCACGTCTGTGAAAAAGGTCCCCAAAATTCCAATAAACGCGCCGGTTCGGCCCTCCCTCCGACCCACCCCAGGGTTGGCTCACCCCCACCCCCCACCCCGCATTCTCGCAAGCCCGGGACCACGGCCGCCCGCCGGTGGCTGCACGTGGCACGGCGCTCTCGAGATGCCCAATAAACGCGTGTTGATGAATGACGGAAGCTGGTTAATTAGTCGGACTCGTAACTAGCGTGGTAGAGCTGGAGAGAGGCGGTTCATGCCACTCCGACCCTGTCTGGCTCCGCGGGCCTGGGCTGAAACCCGAGGCCCCGGTCTCCCTCCCAGATCCCAGCCGACCCTCCTCCCTCCCCTCTTCTGCTGCTGCGCCCAGGCTGGACCCGAAGCGGAGCCGCCCTGCGCTGCCCCTACCGACAGTGGAGCCTGGGCGGCCCCGTCCGCGTGGGGAGCGGTTTCCCGCCGGGGAGATTTGGCAGGTGCAAGCCGTGACTTCCGGCGTTGCCCGGGAGCTGCGGGAGGAGGAGCGGCGCAGGGGATGCGGCTGTGGCGGCGGCGGTGGCGGCCGAGCGCTGGGGGCGGCTGTGGCGGCGGCCTGGGGCGCGAGCCGGCGATGGCGTGCCGGCACTGAGGGCGCGGTGCGGGCGGCGGCTGGAAGGCGGGCGGCGCGGAAGGAAGCGGCGGCGGTGGCTCCATGGCCCGCGCGCGTTGAAGGACGCGGCTCTTGCCTCAGCCCGGCGGCGCCGGCCGAACAATGAAGCTCCTGAAGCCGACCTGGGTCAACCACAATGGTAAGTGAACACAGGGGTCGCGGGAGACCGAGCCTGGCTTCAGATCCGGGTCTGGAGTTGGGTCGGAGTCGCGCGCAGGCCCTGCCCGCCTCGTTCCCGACGCCTTTGCCCGGTGCCAGAGCCGCGGGACGGGAGGTAACGGACTTTGTCCTCAGAGCGTGGAGACCAGCGAGCCCCCGCACGTGCTCCGCTTGGCTGCGGCTAAGTCTGCCTCTGCCCCCAGCACTTTCGCTGAGCCCTCGACCGCCCACCCGTGGTCCGTGAAGGCGCCGCGGCCTGGCTCTGGGGAGCGGCCCTTGGGCGCCAGCCAGTTCCTACTACTCGTCTGCATCAGCCAGGATGTGTTCGGATGGTCCCAAGTGTGAAACCTGGGCGCAGCCTCCCTTGTAGCCTTTCACTGGCAGGGTGAACACCTGAAATCTGCAAGTCTCTGCCATGCTGAGGAGACTTATTGCTCCAGCTGAGGCTCCGAGCTGATGACAGTGCCTCCCAGTTGGAGGACTATGGCTCAGGGCCGAGGTTCCCCAGCCAAATGAAACCATGTTTATTCTGAGCTGGGGCATCAGGGTGACTTGGGTTGGGGTCAATAGCATACAAGTGTGTTCTAGGAGAGGGGCTTCCTTAGTTCTGTGGCAGTGCCCCAGTGTACACCTTGGAGGAATGGACTCTTCCAGGCCTCTGGTTGAGAACAGACTGTGTGGTACAGAGAAATGTTTGATAACCAGCAGTGCTGTCATAGTTCTACCTTGTTGGCAACTACAGGAGTTACCCTCCCACCCCCAGGGAGATGAGAGAGAGCCCCCTTGCCCTCGCTGACAGCACTGAAGTCCAAGGAGCATTCCCCAGCATAAGGCCTGTAGCCCTGATTCCAGCCTGTCTCTGACTACTGATAGGCAGGTCACCCTGATTCTGCTGTTCCTCATTTCTACTTTGCAATACGACCAGAAGGAGCTCCCGTTTTCTTCTAGAGCAAGTAAAGTAGATGCTTTTGCCTCTTTTGTACATGTAGCCTTTCGATTTTGAACCAGATTCAGGGTTGCTCTCTACTGCAGCTGAACAGATGTCAGGCAGAAGTGCTCTCCCTTTCCATCTCCTTGTGTGATGTCTTTCTCACTTTTCAGGGCCTAGGTGAGGTCACCTTTTCCTTTTATTACCATTGCTCCTGAGTTACTCCACTAGATGAGGTCTGTCCCTGTGGTGTACTTTCCATGTGCCCCCCAGGTAGGGACTGCCTCATTTCCCTCTGTATTCCCTGCAACACTTGGGTCATATGATAAGTGTTGGCTAAAACAGATAAGAAAGCGGAGGTTTCCGTAATTTATGAAGACACAGCTAGGTTTACCGTGCATGAAAGCAAAAGCTGTGAACTTCATTTCACTTCTCCTGTGTTGGTTTGCAAGAGCATTTCTTGATGTGCAGTGTGCAGATCTTTCCCTGGAGAACTGGGCAGTTGGTCAGTAATTATAAACTATGTTGCTTGTGAATTAGAAACAGAAAGATTTCATTTGAACTAGTTGTATAAGTGAAGATCTGAAGGAATTTTACTTTAAAATAAAATTTTTTTCCTAGATTAGTTTGTGTGTATAGTCAGTCAACCCTTTTTCAGTGTCTCTTTAACCTTCTGCCATATAATTTCTAACTTTGTGATAAACTCCTTCGTAGAACACAAGTTCTGTGCTGTGGAAGCATAGGTCAAGATGCTTACTTGATTATCTAGGTACAAACGAGTGAGATTCTCCGGTCAGGCCAGCAGCCAAACATCCCAGCCTGGCAGAGTGGCCAAAGCAGTGGGCCCAGGCCCCTTGTTGCTGTGGCCTCTCCATAGTCCTGGGATGGAACTTGATGATTTCTTCTCTGCTTTCTTCACAGTATAGTTGCAGTGCATGGTTGGGAAGATAGATACAAATGGCACCCCAGACTATAAAATGCAAGACATAATAAACATAATTATTTGCAAGAAAATAATTGAGACTCTGGCTAGATGGGGTTTATACTTTTATACTTGTTCTTTGTTCAATTTCCTTTCTTTTAAAATCCCCTGAAATCAACCTTTGTCTCACCAAGTGTTCAGAAGAACTGTCACTGTGAATTACCACGATCCTAAAGGACATGCCAATGGTTTGGGTCGGTGGCCAGTCCCACTGAGCAGTCCTTTAAAAATGAGTGAATAGTGAGGGCTGCTGGGGTGGAAGCTGCTTAGCCAGAAGCCAGAGTGGTGGGTGCTTTGGATTAGCAAATCAAAATGACCATGGGGCTTTGGAGAGTGCATCATACCACTTTTTGGCATCCTGTCTCTGCATTTATGTCTCCTGATTTGTTCTGTGGCTTGAACATACTTCACCTAGTGTCTGAGAGTCCAAAGAGGGAAGAAGCAGAGAGCCCACAATTGCCCTGTGGTGGCAGGATCCCTTCAGACAGGGTGGAAAGGGCAGCTAAAATAAGGCATGTTTAAGGCAAAGCATGAAGTGTAGGTTGAGCTGTAGGCGTACTTTCAGACTTCATTGTCCCAGCTGATAATAGTAGTAAGACCTTTTCCCTGAGGTAGAGTTTCTCAGCCTCAGCACTGTTGACATTTTGAGCCATACAATTGTTCTGGGGACCGTCCTGTGTATGGTAAGATGTTAGCATGCCTGGCCTCACTCATCAGGTGTCAGTGTCACCTATCCCCCCAGTTGTGACAACCAAAAATGTCTCCAGACATTGCCAGTGTCCCCTGGTGGCCAGAATCACCCCCATTTGAGAATCTGTGCTCAATAGAGATCCGTAAGTTAATACATCTTGAAGTCGTCATATCAGAGTGCAGTGAGCCTTGAATGTGGAATCAGAGTGGCCATAGTTTGTTAGCTGTAAATTCTTGGGATTATAATTCTACTTCTGGACCTTGTAAAGTTGAATAAATATGAAGACTCACCCCTATCATTTTACCATGTACTGATATATACGAGTGCCTTAAAGTATATACTAAGAGCAAATGACATAACTTACCTAGAAGTTAGCTACTAGGCATTATTCACACATGTATTTTACTCTGTGTTCTTAGATACAGTATTCCTTATATATTTAATTTTATTTTAGGCTTGGCTAAAATAAGGCTCATATCTTAGCTAGGTTATGACTGTATATTGGTCAGAAGGTGAAAGCAATTGGGTTTTTGGTTGTAGAACAATGTAGTTTGTATTTAGGAAATTTCGTTGAGGTGGGTTCTTCCCATCCCTGGCCCTTTGTTCCTGAGAGTTTTTCTGGAATTCTCACCCCTGGGGAGACAGTACTCATGCTCAGCTTTTCAGTGAAGCCCATTCTCGCCAGAAGGACCAGGACTGAAAGAACGGTCATCCCACTTTGGCCTCTGGCTCACAACAGATGGCAGTGTTGTAAAAGGTGTTTGGCAGATTTTCAGTAATGGGATAATTTGTCAGTTAATCACATTGCATTGTGGTGTGTTCTCTCTCTTGTCCAGTGATTGCATTATTTTTCTTCCCTACCCCATCTCATTCCAGAAAGGATTTTTCAGGCATCCTATTGAGACATATTCTGCATCTGAGTGAAAAGAGATAAGTCAGCTCTAAGGAGAAATGTGGGGAGGACGGTACGACAAGGAAGTCAGGCCTGGGTGTGGAAAGGCCCTGCACAGTGCTGGTGGAGCACTGCAGACCTACCTCTGAGAACAGGGTGGGAGGGACCCTAATAGTGATGTTTTATCATCGTTGTGGTTGTTAAGGTAAGCTTTGCAGTTGCTCTAGATCAGGGGTTCTCAAACAGGCCAATGTCTGGAGGCATCTTTGGTTTTCACACCTGACAGGGTGGGAGCCACCGGTGTCTAGTAGGTAAAGGACAGAACTGCTGGCCGACACCCTGCAGCATGTGGGACGTTCACTCACACACCAAAGAATCGTCGGGCCCAATGCGTCAGTAGTACCGGGGTCAAGAAACCCTGCTCTAGATAAGAGCATCTTCGTTGCTGTTTGCCTTTTCATGTATTTGTCTCATCATTCCAACTGGACTATGTCTCAAGGACAAGAGTTTTGCCTTTTATTTTGGAGTCAGTCTTGCTCTTGAGTCTCCGTGCTCTGCTGCTCACCAAATGTGTCAAGGAAGGTTCTTTTGATCTCTTCCTGATCTGTTAAATGAAGCCAGTAACACCTGCCTCACCTGCTGCCTGTGAAGAAGGCTCAGGAAATGTGAGCTCTCTCTACACTGTCCATCACTGACTTCTGCCTGAAGACAATGGGTGATTTAATAAAGTAACCAGAATACATCTGAAGAGGATTTAGAAGAAAACTGGGTGGGATTTTGCCTTGGATAATATACACGTGGACTTTTCACTGATTTATGAACCAGACGTTGAGCCCTTCCAGAGAGAAGTTCTATGGGGATCAGAGGTACATGATGCTACCCTGTGTGTGGAAAGCTGTGCAGTAGGTGGGAGAGAGGGATCTGCATCACATTCTAGAATTCAGGGCAGAGGGAAACCAGAGCTAAATGCGCAAGCTGCCATGGCCCCAGGGAGGCGGCCTGCTTTGTGGTGTGCCCTTGGGTTGATCCTTGACCACAGGACTGTGATGGTGCAAAAGGCCCTGCTGCTGCGGGAGAGTCGGGAGCAAAGGCCCAGGGAGGACTGAGAGCATTTAAGAGGAGACAGAGCATGTTAGTGCACGACTGAGCAAGTGAGGAGAGAGAATGGGGCTGGTAGGCAGAGCCTTAAGCACCTTGATAGAAGTTTAGACTT